TACAAATTTGGTTTTTAAACTGACCCGCTAATCCTAACCACGGATACAGGATTTTAAAATAGTGGGGTCTGAGAGCATATCCACTTGAATGCCCAGAAATAGATGCTGTATCTAGCCGCTACCCATCCCCCTCAAATGCCCCTCAAATGCAGCCATATTAAGATTTAAAGTTAGCGGACATACACTTTCTTTGGAAATATTGCACCTGAATATCCGAAAATAGCAGCTGCCAAGCCTGTAGAGCCTCACTCCACCCCCATCCTGCTGTGCATCGAATAGGCCTATTCATACCCTGCTCAGCCCCACCATGGACAAATTAGGTCTACTGCGAAAATGATAAACTGTTCACAGTTTATTTTCAGTGCCATAACAAGATGAATTGAGTTGCTAATTATTTCTCCATGAATAAAGTACAAGGAACACGAATACATTATAATGAATAACATGCCTGGTTTTGATCTGATTACACTCATATGTGTTTACACAACGTGCAAGGTATTATGAAATATAAACAATATATTACCATAGAGAAAATATAATTTTCTCTATGATATTTACAGTATGCAATGCATTATGAAATAGGCCTACAAATATTAATACCGTAGATTTTCGAATAACATACTGCTGATGATACAATTTTAATTACACTTTCAGGTACTTGCCAAATGTGGCCTGAAGCAATAATACATTATTCATAACGCCCTTGAGTTGTACTATCACTTGAATTGTTATTACGGTTTTTTAATTAAGCTCTGAAATATTTGCTTTGCTCGGCGTTATACAGATTACACTTTCATATGAGTCAATTCTTGGTTTTATTATGGCAGACACACCATGTAGCTATTACCTCCATGGAGAAATCTAGGCCTACCGAGAAAGGCGCAATATTGGTCATTTTAGGGTCTGACACTGATATCTCTTGTGTTAAGACATAGCCATTTTTTTTATTTTTTAAAAGAAAACCAAGCTATGTTTATGCTAATGATGCTATTATTGATAGTTGGATTTTATTATGTACTGTATAGTACTCTAGGCTTTATATTAGCAGTATAGAATTATATGCAAATATGCTTTATAATTGGAATATATCAACTGTATATAAATATATAAATAACTGTCTGTGGCTACAATAACTGATATAGCAGCTATATTTGATAGTTGATTCAAATTCAAAAGGGCCAGCCAGCCGGCCGACCCACCCTCACTAATTTTATTCAAATTTAAAAGTGGAATAAAAAGACAATTATATTCAAAATTAAGTCTGAGAGTGCCATTTCCGACGAACTAGAGGTGCAATAATCATAAAATTTTTTACCTCATCCAAAACCATGGTGGGGCTGAGGTGATCTCCCGGGTGGTCTACACACCATCTGTAAAAGTCCTTCCCTGGGCCCCCTCTATTTCGAATTTCAGGATCCGCCACTCTATTTTGAAAATGTAGTGTGGAAGTAATTTTTTATTGTATTCCTTAAAATTAATTAGATACAGCTTATAAAAGGCTACCAGAGCTTCCGGGGGCTTTGCCCCTGGACCCCCACTGCGCTGGCCCTAGGCGGCCCCCTGGCCCCCAGCCAATACTTGGGCATAAGACTTCCTTATTTTGCAATTCGTCCTCCCTTCCGCCCCCCCCCCCCTCACAACGGATCGACGCCCTTGCTATAAAGAACATTAGAACCCAAGTATTCAAACTGTGGGCCGCAATCGAATGTAGGGTCGCCAATATTTTGAAGGCCGTCAACAAATTTAATGTAGTTTTTTAATAGATGACAGGGTGTGATAAAACGTGATACTCTTTCCTTCTGCTTTGTATATTTAAGAGCGTGAAGTTTGTTCGTAATTTCACCCATTCAATATCAACAAGAACAAAGTCAGTATATACAGGAGACCTACTGCGTAATCACACATATTATAGACCCAGATAAGATATATTTAAAAGGGCATACTCGCTTTGCAGAGTGTCTATTGTTCTGCCAATTCTAGACATATGCATAGGAATTATTGACAAAAAAAAAATTTTTTAAATCAATTTTTAATATATGTTGTGCATACATAGGGGCATATTATATTATTTATGAAGCTGTGTGTTTTAAAGTGTAATGTAATGTATATTACTAGCTGCTATATTACTATGACAATACGCTTTCCGAAAATTTAAAATGTTTACGATTAGCAAGCATGTGAATGCATGTTAATCAGTCTAAAACGATATTTAAAGATTTTTAGCTAACTGCTAATTTTTGTTTTGTATGTTACTAGGCCTACACATACACACTGTCACTTACAACCAAGGGTGGCACCAGTTTTTGCCCGACGAAGGGCTGATGCCCCGACGAGGAGTGAGATTTACCCGATGAAAACAAAGTGGGCATGGTCGGGATTATATTAAAAGGTTTCGAAATTGTTCCGGGGGGGGGGGCGAAGGAAATGTCGACAATTTAGGAGTTTCAAAGGCTTATTTAATCGATTTTAGAGTACTAATATGTAGAAAATACATAATTTTTTTTTCTCCCCACGAATTGTGCTTTTTATCCCCTGGCCCCCGCCCCCACCTGCTTACAAACCATAATATGCATGTAAAATTTGGTCGTAAAATGTGATAACAATGTACCACTACAATCCATTGTAAATATTTATTTAAATTCATTTTTACGATGAAAATGTTTAAACTCGTGCTGTACAAAGCTTGAAAATTGATATATGATAATGTTTTCTTTCCACAGCTATTTAGATGTAGAACATCCTCGTCACTCCGTCCTTCTTGGTAACTTTTTAGCAGATAAAAACGTGTGTAAAGATACTTGAGTGTATATAAATACAGTAGATAAGAATTATACATAGATAATCCACATATTGTCGATGGAGAATAAAAAGTTGTCAGCCTTTTGAAGCTAAACTTCCTTTTAATCTCTATAAAAAGGAAAAAGCAATGTACTCTTCATATTTTCTTAATTCTGAGTGTAACTATAACAAATGATTTGTTGCTATATATTGCCAGATTTATGTCCCTATGTGTTGTTACCATGTAAATAATAGTGTAACTAATACATCGCACTTGTATAATCGATGGCTTAACCTTATACACACAATTTATACTTTGAAAAAACAATGCATTAAAACAAGATTTGTTGTTGTGGCGACCCCTAGTCCAGGGGTAATGCCTTTCAATCTCCCTATTTTAAAACCTTGATCATTAAAATATATAAATATCTAAAAATAGTAAATATAACAATTATAAATATTTTGACTTTGTATATTTTTTTTTCTCTATAATCACATTTATTTTTATAAATTGAACACCATCTTATAAAAAAGTGAATCAATTTCAACATTATATAGTTGTTTGGGCGAGAATTTTTTTTATACCTTGTTTAGCGAACACCCCGCTTGCCAATAATGATGACATCAATTTCGATTTTCCGCCCCCCCCCCCCCACACCTCTGACAATATTTTTTTTAAAAAGTTTGCGAAAAAAAATATAAAGAAAAGACTCGCCCAGTGAGTAGAAGCTTTAGAATTATGAAAAATAATCATTTGGTTTTAGCACTGAACAAGGAAAGAAGCACTGCTTTAAATTGCCTGAATATTCTCCATCACTTGTCCCTGTTTTTTGGTTTCTTGTATTGCTCAATCTCGTGAGTTTCTCCAAATTCATCATGGCCTTCCCTGAAAATACACATCAATAGAATGTAGCAAAATAAATGCTTAAACAGGATGCTATACAGTTTTTCAAAAATTCCATTTCTTTTAAATAATTTATATACTATATTGTTTCCTTGTTTATTTAACAAGCTATGTTTTTTCCCCATAAAAATACCATGTGAGGGTCGCCATCCCAACAAAACAGGGTCAATTTCCATGGTTTGGTAACAAATGCTGGTTTTGGCATGGCCTGCCATATTTGGTTTCTAACTTTCACTGTGTATTTTTGTTGAAGCTGGAAATTTAGATTTCAACTGAAACTGTGTCCACACTAAACTTACTTAAAGCATCTCTTGCAGTACAAGTCACCTTCGCATCCGAGACAGCGAAGTGCCGCATCCTCATTACATATGCAACACCATGGTAACTCATCCGGATCAACTACATAACCCTAAAACTCAAAAATATGAAAACTGTATTGATATCATGTCCAACCATGTTGAGAATTTAGGCTCCGGAGGAAAAAACTTGTTTGATACGTTGTACAACCGATTTTTATAAAGCTCTGTCCACACTATAAAAACACTGTTGTATGCCCATATATAGTCATAGTGTGCCTATATATGGTCATGATGTGATGTCATCATGACCATATTCAGGCATGTCGCATGTTTTTATCAAATAAAATTTAATAGTCTGGACAGTGTGTTTGACAAAAAAGTTGGCAACGGTTATAAAGATACAGATTTTTAAAATTTAAAAACTGGGAGAAAAAAGTGGTTTGACCCATTACCCCACCCCCACCCCACCAACAGTTTTAAATAAATGGATACCTTGGTAAGCTCTTTTTCTTTCATTGATTGTTTAGGCCTGACTCAATATGCCTTCAGTAAATGATACAGATTTTTTAAAAATTAAACAACTGGGAGAAAAAGGTTGTTTCTCCCCTTTACCACCGCCGCCCACTCCCACCACCCCCCAACCAGTTTTGAATAAATGAATACCTTGGTAGGCTCTTTTTCTTAGACTGACTGTTCAGCCTGATTTAATATCTTCAGTTCCTGATACAGATTTTTTAAAATTAAAAAAGTTGTAGAAAAAAGGTGATTTTTCCCCTTCTCTTCCCCCCACCCAAGCAGTTTTTAATATATGGATACCTTGGTAGGCGGCTCTTTTTCTTTGATTGATTGTTCAGCCTGATTTAATATGTCTTCATTTCCTGATGCTTTCACCTTCTCATTCAGCCTCTGTTCCTCAGCAAGCTAAAATAATAATATAGAATGTAAGTGCAATGAACATGCATAATTACAATTTTGTTTTCCTTTTTCTTGTTTAGGCTAGTCAGATAACATTGCTATAAGAGCTCCTGTGAGTGGTGAGTTAGCAAACCCTCAACTTTGTATCAAATTGCTGGCAAACGGAGTGGTATCAATGGTTGTATTGCTTCTTGTTTGTATTTGGTTATTATAGGATATTTCATGGTGTGATTTTTTTTTTTTTTTTTGCATGTTTTTGGTGGTTTTTTATTCCCAATTATGAACATCATTTTTCACTTTCCTGGTAACTCAAGTTCAACCCAGACTGTGACTCACTCTGACCCGAAACGAGTTTTACTGATTATCCAAATCCAAATCATATATAAACAGACTCTGGATGCTGTGAAAGCAGATTCTGGACAATGGAAAATATAAAAAACAACATACTATAATGCATCAACATTAATATTGTAGAAGTGTGTGGCATGATGCTTTGTCTCATTGCTTGTGTCCTTGGGCAAGACACTTCATATGCATTTGCACAATTCACAAGGAGTATAATGATTTATCCAAAGTATTTTTAACAAATTTAACAAAAAAATCATTTTACGACATTTTATTAATAAGGTTTTAAATTTTAGCTATATGTAAACATTTTTTACAGGAAACTTCTCCACACTGTGGGGAGTATTCCTAGCCATGCTTGAAATTTAAGAGACTAAATACATTCAATGTCACATCACCATACCAGGTTGATAATAAATTATGATGATGATCATTAAATCATTTATATGTGGAGAATGATGAAGATGATATTGCGAATATGATTATGTGGTAATGATGATGGAGATAATGGTGATAAATTATGATAATAATGTTGATGGTAATAAGGATATGATGAGGAGAACAGACTGCTAAGATAAAAATGATGATGACAGTGGTGATGATAATGAAAAAGATGGTGTTTGCATTTATTATCATTTAATATCAGCTATGCTTTATTTACTTGCTGCAGGAGCTGCTTGGTTGCCAACTCTTCGTCTTCATCACTGCTTGTATCATGAAAAACACCTTTACTTTTAAAATCCACTGAAATAAAGTAAAAACAAAAATTGGTTAACAAAGGAAGAATATTCTTGGTAATATATGAAGTCAAATCGACAGTGGCGGATTCAAGGGGGGTCCAGCCGGCTCGGGCCCCCTAAATTGTTCAAAAAAATAATATATTCAAATTTTAAGTCCGAGAGTGCAATTTCCGACCATCTAGAGGTACCATAGTCACTTTTCTTACTTCGGCCCCGACCATGGTGAGGTAGTACAGATCCTCTATCTATGAAGTACCTCCCCAGGCCCCCTCTATATTGAATTCCTGGATTCGCCACTGTACTGTGTTGTATTGAATTATCATGTACATTTAAAATAGGATCACAATTTATAACTGAATTCCTAGATCCACCACTGATTGAGGTAGCACTCTGTGATAAACTTTAAGTAAAATTATTCACAAGTGTCCAATGGCAATGCATGTCAGCTTTATCAGGTGAGTTATTCACTAAAATGGGAATTAAACCAGGAACCAAGAAATCTCCATGGTTCAGCGCACACTCAGTGACTACCACCAGTGTAGCAGACTGAGCTAAGCTGCTCTAATTAATCTAAAGTTTAAAGTAGTTTACATATAAAGTTTATTTATCCATTCATTTATTATTACTTTATTTTATTATTTTTATTTATTTTATTGTGAGTACAAAAATTAATGGAATGAAAAATGTGAAGAGGTCACAAACATACTTCGAGCTTTCTCTGGATCTAACCCTTGTATGCTTGCTAACTTTGCAGCTAAATTAGCATCTTCTTCTTCCTGTTGTTTTGCTCGTTTTAACTCCTCTTCGCTTTCCTTCAACAAACGCTTCACATCTTCCTGTAAGTCGTTATCGTTATCCGCTGCCTTCCCCGAACCTTCTTTCATCAAATTCTTCACATCATCTTGAAAGTCTTTACTATTATCAAACAAATTTCCCTCATTGTTGCTAGTTCTGGCACCTGAAGCATAAAAGTTCAATTAACAATTATCAAACTATGATTTCGTCTTGAGTATTCAAGAGTATTGGCACTTGGCTGGGGAGAGGGGTTGATGGGGGAGCAAAAATGAAGTGGTGCTCGATTATTAATTGTAATGTAATGTGGTTAGATTTATATAGCGCTTTATACTGAAGTTTCAAAGCGCTTGAGGTGTGGACTAGCTCGCACTGTAACCCCTAAGGGTCTCTTCGTGTGTGAGCTACCCAGTAAACCGGTACCAGCTATCTCTCGTCTGTCCACAACAGGGGTTGTATGTACACTGGAGAAACCCCTTCTCGTCTCGAAAGATGTACTGGGTTCTTTATAGTGCACACGGGCCATTGTGTACACTGGACCTACGGTTTATAGTCCTTATCCGAGAAGACTTGTTCCACCCCCATAATCATAGGCGAGTGTGTCGTTCGATCGAAGCAGCGCCGCTATTGTGGCTGTATTTTATGGTGCCCCTTCTTAACCGCTCGTCCATCCAACTCGTGAGGGGTAGTATCTGGAAAAACAAGGTACCCCCCCACCAACACCCCCCTAGGGAAAGGGTGGGGGGGTGTTGACATTTCTACATTTTCTACAAAATGTGGTAAATAAAATTTCCTTCACTTCTGACCTTTCGAGAATAAAATATAATTTATAAATCAGATCTACCTGGATTGGTCACAATGTTTCCATCTTTCTTTTCTGAACTGCCTTCTAACTCAACTTCTGCAGACATTTCATCCATCAAATCTTGGAACTGCTCTTCCATATTGCGTTTATCTGGAGGAAAATATGGCTGCACAAAAAAATGAAAACAATGAGGCACATTTCCTCTCATGCTGTAGAATTAGATGTATAAGGTGGTTCAATTAAAGAACAGGTAATCAACTCTTAACATTACCTTAGATGCTTGGCTAACACTTGGGTTGTCTGATGGTTTTGACAAGCCTCGAAGTACTCTCAACCTTTCTTCCATTTCCTCTGTACTTGGAATTTTTCCTATATAAAGGTGAATTAAATATGTTTAATATAATCTTAAAATGTATTCAGACATTTCAGAATGGTAAAAATTATTAACAATAATGTCTTTATACAACTTATGTGCGTGCTATCCAGTAGCTTCCATTAATATGGATAATATCTTGCATAACCCTTCTTTGGGTGCTACTCTGCAACTACCTTACGTGGATGCTATCCTGCAACACAATTGTGTTGATGCTATCTTGCAAACTCTTCCCAGCATCTCTCCTGTGGATGCTACACTGTTAACTCTCTCATATGAATTCTACCTGGCAACTCTCTTGTGGATGCTACCCTGTAACTCCCTCATATGGATGCTATCCTGCAACTCCCTTTTGTGGATGCTACCCTGTAACTCCCTCATATGAATGCTACCCTTCAACTGTCTTATGTGGATGCTACCCTGTAACTCTCTCATATGAAATCTATGGCAACTATTTTGAGGCCTGGATGCTACCCTGTAACTCCCTCATATGGATGCTACCCTGTAACTCCCTCATATGGATGCTATCCTGCAACTCCCTTGTGTGGATGCTACACTGTAACTCCTTCATATGAATGCTACCCTTCAACTGTCTCATGTGGATGCTACCCTGTAACTCTCTTATTTGAAATCTATGGCAACTATTTTGAGGCCTGGATGCTACCCTGTAACTCCCTCATATGGATGATATCCTGCAACCATTGTGTGGATGCTATCTTGCAACTCCCTTATATGGATGCTACCTGGCAACTCTCTTAATATGGATGCTACCCTGTAACTCTCTTATATGGATTTTACCCGGCAACTCTCTTGTGGATGCTACCCAATAACTCCCTTATATGGATGCTACCCTGAAAATCCCATATGTGGATGCTACCTTGCTACTCTCTTATGTGGATGCTACCTAGCAACAGTCTTATGTGGATGCTACCCTGTAACTCCATCATATGGATGCTACCCTGTAACTCCCTCATATGGATGCTACCCTGCAACTCTCTTGTGTGGATATTATGATGCTGTAACTCCCTTTATGTGGATGCTACCCTTCAACTCCCAAGTAGATGCTATTGTGTAAATCCCTCCTTGTGTGGACGCTATGTTGTAAACTTGCTTATGTTGATGCTACTTTGCACCTTTCCTTATACGGATGCTGTCTTGCAACTCTCATATGGACAAATTGCTACCATATAATATGGACACCAAGAACTCCCTTACGTTGAAGCATTCACTTCTTGAAACGCTGTTTTCTGTCTTGCAATTCCTTTATGTTGGTATTACCTTGCTGTTTTTTTCTGTCTTCTTTCAGCTTATTGAGTCTTTCAACAAGATTTCTATCCTTGGGTTGCAGCCCTCTATATTGATTACTGTTTGCATTTCCTTTGCTTAATGATGGCGGCAGAGGAGCGGGTTGGTTATCCGTTGATTCTTTAGCAGCAAGGGCTTCCATCCGGCTGTTTGAAAAATAATATATTATTCTTGGTATTTGTTAATCAAACAAATCATTATAGTCCATATAAATTCCATTATTACCAACGCCAAGGAGGTTATGTATTCACTGCCGTCTGTCTGATTCTGTCTGTGTATCTGTCCGTCTTTAAGATTACACAAAAACAAATGAATCCATCATCATAATCTTTAGTTGAAATTTCATTTTTTACCCTCAATCATAAAGGAAAATAATGGAATCACCACACGTATTCAGGCAGCACTCAAGAAACCAAAGTGCCTGAAAATGACGGGCGATTCCATTATTTTCTTTAAGGTCTGCAGCACCGAAGAAAATAAATGGCTGGATATGACTGGCGATTCTATACTTTCATTGAGGGTATGCTGCAGTTTCGCCCACAGCCTGCATATTGTTGGTACTGTATTCAGGCACAGGGCAGACTTATGCACTCTATGAATTGACTGCTCTAGTTAAATATAAATTTAGTTCATTTTCATTTTCTGAATTGTTCACAAAATCGATATTATCTAAAAATGGAAATGGCAATGGCCTACCGTTTGAAATTTTCTGGTGGTGAATATCTTGCATGGTTTGCATTATTTTGTTCATCTGGTTTTGGAGTAGTTGTTAAAATTTTGTAGCATGATCTACATACAGGCTGTGCTTTGGATCCATTAGCATGTAGCACTGCTTTATGTGGCAAGCATTTGGAGCAAAAGGAAAAGTGACACCTCTTACAAGAATGCTGTAGCAAAGGAAGTTGTAAAAAAAAGATAACAATTTTAATTTCATACTTATTGCAATTTAAAAAGTTGGAATTTACATCATAAAAATACACAAATAAAAAGCAGACATAAAATTATCAAAGAATCGTGAATTTTTCAACAATTTAAAAGTACAATAATTACCAGGATTTAAGTTAAAAAGACATACAAACAGTTCTACCATCAAAAATTCAATAATTATTACAAAAAATATGAATTAAAACAATAGTCAGTCAATAAGCTCAACAACTAAAAATGCAATCAAAATTACAATGATTCACATTGAAAAAAAGTTCAACAATAAAAAATGTGTGACTTTACTGTAGATATATTTGTGTTCAGTCAAATCACAATGTTGTTTGGTTTGAAATGGTTAGTTATTGAGGATTCGAGCTAGGAAATTGTAAGTCTAATGTTTAATAAAGATAATGAGGCTGAAGTTTAAGTTTAGGTTTGAAGCCAGACTTTTAGATGGATAAAATGAAAAATGTAAAAACAAATTTTCCAATACACAGAAGGGTATTTGAAGAAAAAGTATGAATGAATAGAGATTTTTGAATATTTAAAAACAAACTTGGAGAAAAAAAATGTATAACAATTCTTTTACATTCTATATTACAAAACCGACAAAAGATGCTTCTTCTTGAATAAGCCCACTTGGGCCTATAGGGTAGCTAGGCCTAGTAGTAGTATAGTAGTACTAGGGCTGTCTATCTAAATTACCGGCTATCTACCTTAACCTAGGCCTACCCCTATCTAGAGAGAGAGAGCTACCTAGGCAGATTAGGCTAGGCTCCTACTAGTATTACTAGTACTAGGCTAGGGCCTAGCCTAGTCAGAACGCTTTCTGGTCAAAACAGCAATAAGTCAAAACGGCAATGATCAAAACGGCAAAAAATAAAAACAGCAACACTTTTTGACCAGAACGGCAATGGACCAAAAGGCAATAAGTCAAAATGGCAAGACCAAAACGGCAATAGGCCTAAGTGAAAATGGCAATAACCCAAAACAGCAACCAATTATGAACATAAAAGTGTACACAATTAAATACGGTAAAAATGAGGCTAAATTGTCATAGCAATAACAATATCACCACAAATTTAATAATTTGGGGAACACAATATAAAAGTAAACATTTAAATAAGTAAAACTTTAAAAATACAGAAAAAATGAGGCTACACAATTTACGTCATAAAATTAAAAATACGAAAAAAATTTGCCAAGTATGAACATGAAAGTGTACAACGATTAAATAAAAATGAGGCTAAATTGTGATACAGGCAAAAAACGCAAAAGAACGACAACAACAACAACAATGACAACAACAACAACAACAATAAAAATAATAAAACACACAATTTTAATAATAAAAATATTGGGAGAAACACAATATAAAAGCAGGAAAAATTGAAATAAATAAAACTTTCAAATACAGAAAAATCAGTCTAAACAATTTACGTCATAAAAGTAAAAAACATGAAATAATAATAATAATAATAATAAATAAATACTTAAAACTTTAATTAAAATATAGACAAAATGAATTATTTAAATAATTTGCCATAAATGTGTGTAAGTTGGGAAAAAAAAAAAAAAAAACAGCGATTAAACATTAAAAGGGGGAAAAAAAGCCCACCATGGCAATATTCGATTTGCCTGTCAGGACAATTTCAAATTGATTCAGAAAATTAAGTGGCCAGGCTTGACATTGATTTTGCTCCTTTGCCGTTTTGGTCTATGCCTATTGCCGTTTTGGAACCTGTCATTGCCGTTTTGATTTATTGCCGTTTTGACCTGCTACGGTCAGAACTACAGTATCCCCATGGAGGTATAAAATCTTTATACCCTGTCTCTTATACACATCTAGATGTGTATAAGAGACAGTCAAATCAGCTCAGCAACACATCACGCAGGCAAACACCGCCCTCCCTGCTGCCGCCACGATTGTAAGTCATATTAGCCTATACTTCTATTCATTTTTGCTTCTTCTTTGCACATTCCAAACATGCTATATATTAATAGGACGTGGGAGATGATAAGACACTCATTTTACAATCATTCATCGGATAATCCCACCATTTTTTCCAAATCAATTAACTAATATTCAAAACAGATGTTCTGTGAATTATGATTATTTATAAGGAATGTTTATGAATCATGGAAAATCTAGCTATATTTTCCTTTTATTCATGTTATGACAAACTTAATCCCGTGATTTATAGGGCAGGTATTAAAATTAGCCAATCACATGTGGGGAAAGCAAAATCTCTTGTACCTTAATCACCCTTCCCTGCTATTGCAAAGCAAATTTTGTTGTGCTTCAACACTTACATTTCCTTCCCATGATGCAAATGCTGTTGCAAAGGGAAACAGTGTCAAAACGCTTGGAAGAAGTGTACAAATTTTAGCATTATTATTATTGGAGCACATGCTTGCCCAGTGTATTGAATGGCTTTTACATTGAGACCAAAGCTTCTGCATAGAGTTCAAAGAAGAGTGCTATACATGTACATGCATGCTAAAGACCTTAAACTTAGCGAGTTTGGAAATTAAAAATACATCCTTGTGTACGGCATTTTTTTTCTGTCTGGTTTTAACAACCTGTTGCTTGTGGTGCTTATGTGGCGCCCTCATTCAGGTCATGATTTTTTATTTGCCTTGACATTTTTTTATTTTCATAATTTCTCTTGTGCATTCTTTGCTTTTCTAACAGGTTGCAATTAGTTGTGATGTATTCAAAACATAACACTTACATCAAGCAATGAGGGAACTCAATTCTATACGATGCACACTCAACAACCAAACAATTTTTTTAAATTATGTTACTCTAAACATTTTGTTGAAAGTACTCGAACTGTATCATTTTAAAAACATTAAGAAAATTGTTTGTTTATTACATATTTCCGTATACGTGTATTTTCACAGTATATTTTTATTATATCATTGTGTATAAATATATTATTGGTCTCTTATACACATCTAGATGTGTATAAGAGACAGCTTCTTATCCCTGCTTAATAATTTGGGGAACACAATATAAAAGTAAACATTTAAATAATTAAAACTTACAGAAAAAATACAGAAAAAATGAGGCTACACAATTTACGTCATAAAATTAAAAATACGAAAAAAATTTGCAAAGTATGAACATGAAAGTGTACAACGATTAAATAAAAATGAGGCTAAATTGTGATACTGGCAAAAAACGCGAAAGAACGACAACAACAACGACAACAACAACAACAACAACAACAACAACAACAATAAAAATAATAAAACAGACAATTTTAATAATAAAAATATTGGGAGAAACACAATATAAAAGCAGGAAAAATTGAAATAAATAAAACTTTCAAATACAGAAAAATCAGTCTAAACAATTTATGTCATAAAAGTAAAAAACATGAAAATAATAATAATAATAATAATAATAATAATAATAATAATAAATAAATACATAAAACTTTAAAATATAGACAAAATGAATTATTTAAATAATTTGCCATAAATGTGTGTAAATTGGAAAAAAAAAAAAAAAAAACAGCGATTAAACATTAAAAGTGGGAAAAAAAGCCCACCATGGCAATATTCGATTTGCCTGTCAGGACAATTTCAAATTGATTCAGAAAATTAAGTGGCCAGGCTTGACATTGATTTTGCTCCTTTGCCGTTTTGGTCTATGCCTATTGCCGTTTTGGAACCTGTCATTGCCGTTTTGATTTATTGCCGTTTTGACCTGCTACGGTCAGAACTACAGTATCCCCATGGAGGTATAAAATCTTTATACCTCCATCCATGGTATCCCATACTGTGAAGTTTTCAATTGCACAGAGGATATATCTAAAAAATCAGATCAAATTTCGCTAGGAAAACAGGTGCGCGGAATCGTAATTGCTGCATAATTGAATGGTTGTATTATTAAGACTTGTTCAAAGGCTAATTTTCGGCAAAATCTGCGCGGAACCTTTATTTTCCGAAATGCACGGACGGATTTCTAAGCCAAATTCTTGCGCGGAGGATAATATGTTCCCAGCCAGAGCAGGCCTCACTATACAGCCTGGGAACTATCTAGGCCTAAGCCTACCTAAAAAGGCCTAGGCTAGGCCTAGCCTAGCTAGGCCAGGATACCCTAGCTAGGCCCTAGGGCTAGGCCTAGGCCTTGGTAATTTTACCTCTCTTCTAAAAACACCAAAATTCTCTGTGCAAGAGTAGCACGACATGTCTTCTTTTCGAATGAAAATTTATTAAATTATTACGGTTTCACAGGGCGCATATGATTGGTCACAATAAAAACCTAGGCCTAGGCCTACTTTATTTGTGATAAAAGCTCGACGATCCACACACCGTTCGATTTCTAGTATCTTTGATTTCACAACAAAAATATAACCTATGACCTAACAAGGTAACACATCACATTAATACATGATAACATAATAAAAATGAATATATAGCTTATATAAAAACTAATTATAAGTTTAAGGTAATTATAAAACTTAAAGCTTATGTACGTTTAAACTAAAAGTGCATATATAATATCTATAAATTGTTTTTGTTTATTAAATAAAAAATAATTTTAATTATTTTGAAAGAGCCAACTATCTAATAATCATAAGGATTCATTCATTGTGTTTGTGTATGCGAAACGAAATATAATTTGACGTAAGTTGTCAGTAGTAGTACATAAATATCTCCAAAAGTAGGTAGCAAATGCTTATTACTGTCCATTTGTTACATATTTTAACATGTCGTGACCAGTATTATGTGATTCCTTTCGTATTTAGTGCAAAGCTTCTGTTATTAATTTGTCAATATTTAAGTCTTGTCAGACTCAGAGAGAGTAGCCTAGCTAGGCCGGGCTATAGCATCCGGATTAGTCGTTGGATGAGAGGTTAATTAAGCTGTAGCTACCCTACACCACTATTAGTACTACCTAAGACTAGCCTGGACTATCAAGGTCCTAGGTTTTTTGCCAAACTTATCTATAACTGGTCATTTATTGTTCGTTTTATACATACCATGTTAATAAAAATTTACTTTATTTTACTTTTTAGGTAGGCCTATTTAAAAATAGAAAATGGCTCGTACCAAGCAAACAGCTCGTAAGTCCACTGGTGGTAAGGCCCCACGTAAGCAACTTGCCACCAAGGCTGCAAGAAAAAGTGCCCCATCTACAGGAGGTGTAAAGAAGCCGCATAGATACAGGCCGGGAACTGTTGCACTTCGTGAAATTCGTCGCTATCAGAAGAGTACTGAATTGCTGATTAGGAAGCTGCCCTTCCAGCGTTTGGTCCGTGAAATAGCACAGGATTTCAAGACTGATCTTCGATTTCAGAGTGCTGCCATTGGAGCTCTGCAGGTAGACTGTTTAGACCAATCATTATTGATCTTTTTTAAATTTCGACCAATCATGATCGCTCTTTTTAAACCTAAATATCATGATCGCCCTTTTTTAAGAAGAATCATTTTTTCCTATTGTACAAAATAATTACCGTAAAATAAATATGATACAAATTTTAATACAATACTTTTATAGTTGTTTTGTTGTTGTATTTACAGGAAGCCAGTGAAGCCTACTTGGTAGGACTTTTCGAGGACACCAACTTGTGCGCCATTCATGCTAAACGTGTGACCATTATGCCGAAAGATATCCAACTGGCCCGCAGAATCAGAGGCGAGCGTGCTTAGGGCAGGCCAATTGTTCAGTGGAGAATTGCGTTCAATATTTCCAGCATTTTGTGATATTTTTTTCATTGAATTGTCAGTTTTGTATCTAGCATAGATAGTTGTAGATTAATGCAAAATTTGTACAGTGTATCCAAAAATATTAATGGTTTTAACTTATTGTTTCTGAATTGCAGACTTTCATTCAAAATTGTTAAAAAGAAAAAAAAAACAAACATTCTGTTGTGTGTTATAACTTTATCTACAAGGCTACATTCAGACCTGACATGTTAATACTGGCGTGTGCTGCGCCGCCCACAAGTGCATACCACTCGATTAACGTTGCGCTAGTGTTACTCGTGTCTGAACATAGCCTAAAACTCCTAACATCATTGTTGAATGAGTATTGAAAACATGATGAAGAGTTGGGATGAGCTGCACTAGTCTACAGTAATTAGTGTAATTTAAAAAAAAGTAATTTCAGTGATGTTTTTTTGAACCAGATTATTTCACATGATAGACAGAAGCTATCAAGGACACTTGAATTAAGTACTGTATGCTTGTGACCTAGTGTCAATCATGTAAAATAAACTAGTCATAAATTTTCCAATTTTTTTTTTGAGTGTTTATAATATTTAGTGCTCCTTCGCCAGTCTATTTTGTTAAGCCGCAGTCATACTGTACTTATTGCGGTAAAACTAACCAAAACGTTGATTATTTTTACCATAATTAATCCAATGCGTACAGCCCAAAAAAAAACAAACTAACCTTTATGGAAAACCGAGATGAGCTGTTAGTTTAACTGTGTGGATTTCACCGAGCCAAAAAGTCCAATGCGAACATGCATTTCAGTTAAACCTCCTGAGCCATTCGAGTGTTACTCCATGAATTATGTCACGGATTTGTGCCCTAATAGTTGATTTTTCCAGTAAAACTAACTCAAAAAATCCAAGTACTTGTACAGACAACGTTAATACATTGGAATGATACCCATGGTCTTGGTAAAAAGTCCAGTGCGATTGTGGCTTTAGTAACTAAAAATATGAGCCTACCATTATTGATGAAGGCTAAAATTTTGTAAGCCTAAGCTTAAAAGTAGTTAATTTGTATTCAAGAAATGTAAAGTTTTTAAAAAATTGTTTTTGCAGTCTACTGTTACAAAATAATATTAAGTGTTTTAGTGATAATTATCACAAGTTTTACCTCAATCCTTTTCTGAATATACTCTCAATTTTGATATAAGAAAACTTCAGGACCAAATAAATATCAGGTTATCAAGAAGATATTAAAAAGTACTATGTGGAAAAAGACAATATTTCTAGCAGGTAGATTGATCGAACAAAATCATGCAAACTGACTCTAAATCCTGTAGATGATACAGTATTTAGTAACTTGTTCTCATTTTCTGACAAATTGTTCGTATATGCTTTTTGTAGGAACAAAACTCTAGTACTGTGTCAGTGTTTATAATGTTCTCCTTACCCTCTTGTCAAATAATGCAATACTTCACCTGATTAAATGCAATTATGTCCCTTAATAATGTAAAAAATACTATCATTATCATTTAGCGTGACGCCCAAATGTGCGATTCTTTTTCAGCTGTATGTCCCATTTCTCAATTAAATTGATATTTAGCCGAGCTCGTTTTCTTCATTTTTATGAATCCGTGTGATGATTTCATTGATATATTATTTTTTTCTAAGTAGCTTTACATATTTTAGCTTCTTGAATATAAAAAAATGATTAGTAGGGCGAGACTTTTTTTTATACCCAAGTTGTTTGCGAAGATCATCAGTGGAGGGTGGAAAAAAATAAATAAATAAAAATTTGTTTTCTAATTTAGCGAATAGTTTTGCCAAAAGCATCCAGACGGAGGAGAAAATAAAAATAAAATTTTATTGGTGAATTTAAACAGTGGAGTAATGGGATGGGTAAATGCTTTAAATCTATATAATTAGGAATAGAAACAGGCAATTCTTATTTTGGGAATTTCAAGGCAGCGGCGGACATAATAAAAATAAAGAAAAACTTGTATCTGAAATGTACATTTCGTGGTGGCGGGTGCGCTAATTAGCATAAAATACAAAGTTATTTTTATTCAAAATCACCATTTTTGGCGAGCAGCAGATTCGCTAAACAAGGTATAAAAAAGTTGCAACTAAGTGGTGGAAAATTATACAAGCATGGTAAGTGAAAAATAGGTTTACCACAAACGACAAACCTCATTAAGATTATGTTACGTAATTAGCAGAAAAACATTAAATCATCAAAACCAAGGATTTGACAAAAACACGTCCACACCCCAGAGCCGGTAGAACGTTCTTTTCTTTCCGATCATACAAAAATCTGCATAGACATACAGTATATTCTGCCAAAAAGTGGGGGCCCGGGGCCCCCTAGTTGCACCAGCCATGCACACGACTGACATGTCCATCACATGACATTACATTATGTTACCATATTTCATTAGGGCAAAAAAAATTTTACGAATCTAAGAGTCAGCATTTTAGTTGTTTTTTATTTTTTTAACAACGAATGATATTTTTTTATGAGCAAATAAAGCTAGAATAACCATGGCGAGGGTTGGGGGTCAAGGCTAGCCTATTTTGCTGGATGTGAATCAAAAATTGTATTATTTGTGTATTTTCTACTTTTTAGGCGTAAAGACATTGGTTGTAAAAAAAAAGTTTTCCTACTAACCTACCAATTTTTAGGATTTTCCCAAATGCTTAACTTATGTCTCACTATCTGACGGTGGGCCTGAGCGAGATAAGGTTAACTTTGGTGCGCATCACCATCGGAGGGCCTTCTGACCGAGCTGGGGAAGGGTTTAGGATGGGTTCCCTCCTTCCTAATGAGTTTTGCTTTTAAATAAGGACCTGCCGGAAATGGCACTCTCAGACTGAAAAACGGTACTTTAAATGTAAAGTTGATAAAATACAATTGTTACTATACTGTCAAACTCAATAAACACGCATTTCATTTCATTAGGCCATTTTTTTTCTTTTTTTTTGCTCCAACAGCCCGACGAGCTCTGGCTGGTGGGGGCTTGACTTGTCCAATGGGGACTTCAGCCCCTGCTGCCCCCCACACCCCCGCTGACGCCGCCACTGATGGCAACTAGTACTGTAGTAATTTATTATACAGTCGAGGTGACAAGTGCTCTGGGCAACTAGTCTTGACTCATTTGTTACAGTTGCTTGTAGTTGCGCGATTATGAAAGTCGACATGAAAGTCAGTGGTCATACTGTAGTTCGTGAGGGCGACATGAGCTTAGCCTAAAAAATTTTATACTGAATATAGGGAAAATAAAATATAGTATTAATATCAGAGTGCAGTGCATATTATTTTCAAAAACATACACCAACAAAAGGAATTAATATTACAATAATTTATTTCTCATTCCATTCTTTTAAAAGCCATTAAAACGAAAATCAATTCTAAGTGAATATATCGCCTTTTCGCAAGAATTTCAGGTAAATCCACCAGTTTTGTAAACATAATATACAAACAACACCAAGAACACTTCAAACATTTTAAACATCAGTTTGCAGTAAATGAAAAGTTTTTTACATTCTAATACAAGAAATATGAACCAAATTTGATATATAGTTTATCCATTTTTGTACACAACATTCTGTTTGAAATAATTTTGAAATTTAGTTTTTGTACACAAATAATTACTGTATATCTACACGAACAATACACCACTCCAATTCCAATGTTCCTGTATACATTTTAAGCAGCACAAAAAACCACCAAATATAAGATTTATGTAAACAATTTTATGCAACTTTTACCTTAGATCAACTAAAGAGAGATTTGAACTAATATCATTCCTATAATATTTTCAACATAAATAATGATTAATAAAATAGTTAAACATTTTTTCCAGTTACAACAAATTTATATAATAAAAATAATACAAATATTGTTTAAAGGTTTGATAAAGGTAATAATACATTAATGTTTGTGGTACACCATATATAGTTATGAAAACAACAGTTCTTTTCATAACTATCTATGTGGTGTAATATATGATATAAAAACAATACAGTAATAATATAAATATTATTAATAATAACAGAGTAAATGTTGCAATGAACTTCGCAGCACTTATAAAATTGGTGAATGCTTCAATTTAGCACGTATTCGGCAGCAATTAATACAAATTATGCTAAAACAATACCATGTATTTTTGGCCTATCTGACTTCTTGCTAATAATCCCTTTTTTATATATAGCACAGGTTAGCTGGGAATTTTTGCAGCCTGCGAATGCGAATTAAAACCGTGTGAGCAACCCGCAAACAATCTTTTGACTAGAAACACCGATCATCTACAAAAATTAACATTAAATCCAAGAATTATGTGGTACAACAGCAGTTCATGAAAGTTTTGGAAGTATAAAAAATTTGGATTGTTAAATCAACAATTCACTTTGGCCCTCTGACCGATTTGTATGCCCACCCCTGATACACAGTAAGCGCTACTCTTAAATACTGTATGTACCGAAATAATTGCAGTTAGATCAGCAAAGTCATTAAGTATACTTGCGGCAAATTACTTTTTTTTCTCATTCTGGACAAGGTCATTAACAAGCAAGTTAATTTACGATTCCGAAAAATATATGGAAATCTAATTAAATTTGGTAAAGCGCACACTTTGCAATGAACAGCTTATTTTTCACAGTTCATGGTACCATTTAAACATTTAAGGCAGGACTTTTTTTATACCTTGTTTGTTTTGTTTTTTTAAAGATCGTCAAAGGAAGGTTTTTCATTTTTATATGGTGGCCGGGGCGCTAATTGACCAAAAATAAAATTGTATTTTTATTCGGAATCATCATTATTGGCAGGCGGTGTTCGCTAAACGAGGTATAAAAAATAGTCTAGCCTAAGCATTCATGCCAGGGGAGGATACTTGTTGAATGTGTTATATAAACAAGTTTAAAGGGTTTGCATTTTACCAATTTTCAATAACTGTGTTCCGAATAAGTGCCAAGTTGAAACTGTTAGTTTGTGAAAACAAAGAAAGCGTGTTAAAATACAGTACACCCTGTTGTCATTACAGATTTTTTGTGTAGTAAGGAATACAAAATTGTTTGACAACCAATACACGCTTATTTTGACAAGCTTTTTTGTTTTGTGAGCGACGATTTCATAAAAGATGCTGTACTTGTTTAATCCTTTACTTGGAAGTTTTTATTGTTGTGTTATCAAAAATAAAAATTTAAAAAACACTGAAAAATTCAATTGAAATATTAAATAACTCATTTCATTTTTAAAAATCCAGAAATTGATTACCAGCCAATTTAAGGAAAGCTTGTTACGAGGAATGTCCATAGAATTTCTGTATAAGTTCATATTTTTTGTCAGGCAAGACTTTTTTAAACCTTGTTTAGCAAACACACCACATGCCAAAAATGATTTAAAATAAAAAGAAAATTTTAATTTTGGCCAATTAGCGCACCCGCACTACGAAACAAGGTATAAAAAGTGTCTTCCCTAAGAGAGAATTATCAACAACTTGTTTGCATTGTAATTAAAACAAAACTGAATCTTAATAGTTTCCTGAGAAACTAAATTTCTTACTCACAAACATCAAGTTTGAACTAGTATAACACTTCCTTATTACATAACTATAAAAATAAGTGGTAATCCAATAAAATAATGCCCAGCATTTACACCTGTCTACGATTTCTATTGAAAATGTCAACATCCTAAATTCTTTTTACTCTGACTGGATATGATTGACTTTTTTTCATTGTAAAACATCAGTGTTTGAACAAATATTATGGAGCCATAGAGATAAAATAAAGGAGGAACCAATAACAACAAAATAAAAAAATAATGATAAAACAAATTGGATTTTAAACTGCATGGTAATCACAGAATAGACACCCCCCACCCCAAAAAAAACCCCCAAAAAAACCCCACAGTGATGACACTGGCAGAAAAGGGATGCTCAAGCCTCCCAAACCCCCACCCACCTATCCAAAATTGGACATGACAATCCCCCCACCCACGAAAATATTTTTTATCATGAAAATAACAATTCTTTAAAAATCAGGGAAAACATTGATTCTTAGTAGTGTATGGATATATTAAATTCAATTGACTGAATACCAAAAATCTATGTTTTCTCTGATTTTTCAAGAATTAACATGATTTTCATTGATTTTATTTCAAAATGACTGACACACCCTTTTCTTCATGAAAATACTGTGTAAATTGTATTTAAAACCCTGTTTCTGAAAGCGTTTCACACACTTCCTAATATATGTCCTTGAACAAGCACTGCGTCGCTTAAGAAAAAAATCATATTTGGTGCGGCACTTATTCGAGAGTGGCGCTTATTCAGTTTACAGTACTGTTTATATAACCAAACATTTCTAACAATGCCATTTTCAAACCCAAGCATGGGCTCATAAAAAATTAATGTTTTTTTACAATGACAAAAATAGAAGGAATTTACACTAAACTTAAAAGAAAAAGAATGTCATTTTGTCCCATAAAAGTTTGGACAAGACCTTTGACTAAATCATGCACAGCTGTACTAAAAGGCTATACACATCCTATTTCCACAGGCAAACTTGAAATACTTCACTGAGCTTGCAACATATTCCTTGCAACTCAAGCTAAAATAAGCAACGACAGCATATATAGATCTAATACAGAGCATACGCAGTTTGACTTAATGTTGAATTAGACTTGAATATGTAAGCAATATACTGCATCACTCTATTCAAAGTCTAATTAATATAACCTTGAAAACTCTATCATCCTGGATGAGGGCATTCTTAAACAATTCAGTTAAAATTTCTTCCAGGATCATCTCAGATAATTTACATGAACATATTTTACAGTAAAATTTATGGTTAGAGGGCATGATAAAAAAAAAAACCAAAATCTATTCTGTATATGGCTATTCATATACTTGAGATATACATATAAAATATTTAGACAGTGTGGTTGTCTAATTTTTTTTTTTTATAAATATCTCATTAGTCTTCACATCATCATCATTTCTTTAGTTATACTGCCTTGAGCCTGCAAAAAAAAAAAAACACAAACCAATTTCAATTATTATGCAGTAGTGGGAAATATTAGTATTATTAGTATTATAGTACTACCAATATCATCATAATTCATGATTTATTAACATTATTACCTTCATCTCTGAAAACATTTTTGCGGCTTTCTGGTAATCCCACTCATTTTGCTCAAGACACCTGATTGAAAAAAAACCAAAAAAAACAAACACATTAAAAAGATGAAATATTACACTGACTGAAGTCATAAAAAATGTATGAGACAGGAAAAGCCAGAACTTCCTTGTACCTTGTTTAGCTAACCTACCAACTGCCGCTAATGGTGAATATAAATAAAAATAAATTTTTATTTTTTTTGCCAGTTAGCACACTTGCAGCCACAACAAAATAATTTATATTTGATTACATCCTTCACCACCACCATCTTTTTTTAATTATATAAATTTAAAACATTTACCAATCCCATTACTGTACTCTGTTCACATCATATTCTTTACGATCATGTAATAGGATCTCCAGTGAAAGCAAAAAAGAACATCCCTTAGTTTTTTACCTTGCACACTTGCAATTTTTTTATTCATTAATAAAACTTTATTTTTATTTTCTCCTCAGTCTAGATGCTTTTGGCAAGATTATTTTGCTAAATAAGAAAGGAAAATTGTTGCGTTTATTTTTTTTCTGCTCTCTTCTGAAATCTATATAAAAATAAGTTCTCAAAGCAAGGTATAAAAAAAGTTTAGCCTAATCAATAAAATGAAATCAATAATCTAACTTTGTTTTTATATTCTTTGTATTCGTTGACCTACATTTTGGAATACTTTAGATTCATTCCAGAGTCCTTTGAGAATTGTGAAACTATTGACATCTTTTCATGGTCTGATGGGCCTGATGAACTTTCAAGTACTGGACTATGAGAAGGGGTAGGTGCAGCTGAAGGAAAAGCAGCCTGAAAAAAAAGTAACAGTGAACATAATCTTTAAAGACCATGAAAAGGTGCAGGTATATAGTGTATATTTTCAAAATATGCAGGGGGGTTGGTATAGATGATGAGAAAGCAACCTGAACAAAACGGCCGGTAAAGATTTAAAAAAAATTTTCAGACTTTGATTGGGAGTTAGTTACATGTGTGGGTATTTATTACAGGCTATGAGCAGCGGTAGGTGCAGATGATGGGAAAGCACCTTAAAAAAATATAGATAAATATATTATCTTCAAAAATTTGACTATGAGACTGTAAGTATACAGCTGATGTGTTTGGCATGCCTGGTTAGTCTCTTTCCCTGCACCACGGCACACCTGGAAATGTTCAAACCAAAAATTTAGCTTTTGTAGTTAGAAATCACTTCATATCACATTATTTTTGAGATAGTATCCACATACTTAATCATCGAGTTCCCCATCATCAGCCCCCTTCTCATTTCAAGACTCCTAAGTAGTGGGTGGTGATGCTGAAGGTGGGAATATTCCTGTACATGTATGTAAGAGTTATCTTTACCTTTATCTGTTTTTCTGTTGGGTATTTCAAACACAGTTCATCATTTAGAATCAACAACCTAAACAACGATCACAAAAAAAGGAAAAAATGGTTTTCAAATCATTAGAATTATTATTTGTATAAATAGAGTGTTATGGTATTTCATTACTAATAGGTAAATGATGTGCTCAAATATATAAGATGTTATGATCATATGTAGCATATAGCCCTTTTCCATGCTACTTGAAAAACCCAAACCTCCAACCTCTCCTTGTCAAGGCTGGTGTCATATTGCTAGAACATGAATGCCTGTGGCAAATTCAATCTTGAAAAATACATCATAATGAATATAATTACCAAGTGGCTATTGGTCATATAAAACAAAGAGTTTTAAACAGTAACTGCCTACCTGTTGTCGAAATGCGTAAAGAAACTCCGACTAAAGGCTATGATTTGTGGGTTGTTGTTGCGGCTATCAATCTCTTTGAATACGCCATCAACGGTGAACAGAAGCAAAGTTCCCTGTGTAAATTAAACAAGGTAAATATGACAGACTTAAAAAAAAATCATTCTTTTAAGATAGAAATGTAGCAATATTCAATGTGTAAAAGGTCTATGCTGTGCTGTATTGAGTTCACTAGACAGTAGGCTTAACTTACGAAAATATGCCACTTTATGCAACACCTATACATATATTCTAATACTTTGATTCTTGAATAGATGTCATGTCATTTAATTAAAGTGATTATACCACAGTTATTTAATAGTACTTAGTCCTATGAAAATATTATGAGTTTATCACTCTATCTAGGCTGGAAAAGTGATGAGGGAGGGAGGCTTTTCTTTAATTTGTTTTATTTTGCTAAATCCAAATATAACCATTGGGTTGTCTGCTGGTGCACTGATATTCAATGTAAAACATGACTGAGATAATACAAACAATATAATATACTAACTATTTAATAAAAAAAAAAAAGAATAATTTTTTTTTAAAATTTTTTATTTATTTAAAATATATTTTTTTAAATACCATAGAAGCCATTCGTGCGAGGGTGATAAACTAATAATTGTTTTTTAATGGACCTTATCAGCTTTCAAAACGAAAACATTCTTAAATGAACACAAGAGAACTAGGATAGGCCCTGCGACTGGTATACCCGGGTCATTAACAACACGCTGTCGCAGACGTGTTCCAGTAGACATCGCTTCTAGCAAAGTGGCTGATGCAGGTACAATTATCCATTTTTGTTGTGGCTAAATTTCTACGTTGTTGCACAGCCCAGTATTGAGTAGATGAGCAATATACAATATGCGAGCTAAAAAAAATGGCCTAGAAATCTAAATTTGTTTTTCATTATATACATAAAACAGTTTAATATCTTATTAATCATGTCCAAAAGTCTTTTGAAATAACGCAACAGTAGCCTAAATAGTAGGTTTGTATAAAACAAATAATGAATGTTTCTTCTCATACATATTCATGAGTTGAAAGACTGGATGTTCTATTCAACTTGAGTATACCTTGATGAATAGAACATCTAATTTTTACCTCATGAAATATTCCATCCCAATGCATAAACAAACACTCATTTTTTAGTATATTAATGTGTAGGCTCCACTGGAATGGTATCTCCTTGCTTGTGCAATAATATATTTAAGCTTTATTTGAGATGGCACCACATGCTAGCTCAGAATAATGTGAGGTGGTAGACATAAGCCCTACTGTAAACCCCCATAAATTATGGGCCTAGGCTAAAGATGATGTACTCTAGCTAGGCCTACTATCTAGATTAGACAACATACACAAGGATGGTCTACATAAACAGTGTTAACTTCTTACCTGAGCTAGGGAAACATCAACAATGAATGACCTCATGTCATGCTGGGTTCCAGGTAGGTCTTTAAGGAATGCAGTCACTGTCACGTTGCCCTGCTTAAGTAGTTTAAAACGCTGACCTACACAAGAAAAAGCAAATACTTGATCAAATTTGATCAACTGCTTCAAAATTTCTTTATGCTTCAACAAAATGATGCCTCCTCAAAACAATAACAATAATTCTTTATTTATTTACTGGGCCCTGGGTAAATGTATTTACTTTACTTTATCTACCTCAAAGCCAAGGCAAATATGCTAAAAACTCATCTTACCTTCACACGATTTTTCTCATGTTCCTCAAATTAAGTAACATACACGCTTGAGTAATTTATTATAGGTAATTCAGATGCTTGTGGGTAGAGATACTGGTATCTTGCTGAAGGTTAAGACATACTCTGGCTGTATAGCACTCTTTCTTTAAAATATGTCACAAAAACAGTACGCGTTTGATCGCGAAACCTCCCTAATAACTGCTGCAGGGTGTTTACTGAATATGGTATTTTAAAAGAATATGGATTCACACCTACCTGAATCTTTGACTTTGAATAAATTTCGACTGTACTTGGCAAAGTTTCCTAAGTTGGTCTTATTACTTCTGGAACTATTATTAGGAACACTGAGTGAGAATGTTGCCTATAGAAAAACAAATTATATACACAAGTAAATAGAAATGAGAGTAAAACGACCACTAGACGCTTAATACTCAATATGACAAGTCATTTATATTGTCCGTATTATCAAGTTTTATTTGACGAATACCTGTGATTTGTCCATATATTTTTTTTACACGAATTCATTTATATATTTTTTATTTATTTTATTCACAAATGGGCCTAAATATAGGCATGATGATGATGTATGATTGCATCAAAGTGAATACGTTAAACTGTGACCAAACCAAAAGTTGAAACTGTTATATATTTTTTCTGTGTTTGACCATGGTGGTCTTATTTAGGAGACCATTTCGGCAGCAGATCCCTTTGACACGACAAACCAATGTGTTCCCTGCCTCTGGATCGCACGTGGGCATATTATCTTATTATTAACATTTTTTTTTTTGTTAGCAACATTTTTTTTTTGTTAGCAACAACTTGACAACTTTTATACGCTTCAACACAGCAGTTGTGCAATAAACCGTTTAATTAAATATCTTTAAAATTAACAATACATTAGCTTCAATGTGGAAACATTTGCGTAGCCATAGTGATTGACTGTAAGTAGTGCGCATTGAGAAAAAAAAAGGTGCTCTCCATTCTGCTAGATTACAACCGTTTTGTTTTTTGATATTAGTAAACTAACTACCAAGCAAGTAAAAAGGATTTCGCCTAAAGGAAAAGTCAAATAATATTATTAGTATTTTATTTTAAATTAAAATAATAACAAATTAGTATATAGGGGAAATTTTATACACAGATTCCTTGCATAAACATCTTAACACTTTGGCTGTCAGCGACGAATACACTCACCCACTCGAGTGGGGGTACCTTTGAACATATACCAACTCATGCAAAAAGCGGGCGAAATAACTTCCACTTTGCATAGTCAATAAAAAGTGCTATCACTGTGCTGTCGACGACATATTGTTGTATGGAAATCTTTTCCAAATTAAATATTTAATTGAAATTACAGTATCAACTAATTAATTGAAATGTTTAAATACCTGTTCATGATAGGCATCTACTAACACTTGTCGATTCCCTGAATCAAACACAGTGAAGAACCTGAAAACACAAAATATATACAACATGTACAACTCTCACCAGAAAAAGTAAAAAAAAATCTATCTGAGTGTAATTGAAATGAATGTAATTGTAATTGAGATTAAAATGTCTGAAACTTTGGAACTGCCAAGGGCATCACCCCTGGACCCCACAACAGGTAAAGAAACACTTCTAACCTTCACTCTCCAGTCACAGGGCATTGACTGGTACTTTCCCCCTCCCCCACCCCTTAAAATTCTGATCAGGTATGGTGAGTAGACAGTATTTATCATCCACAAAAGCACTACGTTAGTGTACAGTTTGAAACACTTTTTTAATGGAATTCACTAATAAAAGAGACACTGAAACAAAAGGGGGGTTCAATGGACCTTCCTGCTAAGCCTCACTCCTTGGATACCGTTGCTAAGGTCCCATAAAACGACAGTGTTATTTTTTTGCATACACAAAAATCTGCGTTTGTCGGAACAACACGTGTGCTTGTTAAATACACACACATTCCTTCACCAATCACTGGCCCCTGTTCTGATTAGTCGATTGTTAAATTTGGTTGACATTCCCGAAAGGTTACCTTGTATCACTTAAACAATTCTACCAAAATACATATTAAGATAAAAGTATTAGAAATCTACATATTAGGCAGTGATATATCTGTATTCAGTGTGAATATGAGTAAAAATTTTATTTGAAAAACTTACTTCTCTACGAAGGGGACAACAATTGCTTTAACTTCCTCGTTAACGAAAAAACTCCCTTTGACTGGCGGTAAGGCCGTTGACTCATCCAATTCAAAAGCAATAGGAGGTGGGAGTTCTACTCCATCCTATAATAGCAGAAAATAATTACAACGATTGTAAAATATTTCATTTACAAGTGAACATTACATCATAATTTCATAAGAAAAAAAAGAAGATATTACAATACCTCATAAATGTTAATTAGGTAATAATATTTAATTGTTCAATTACACCTGGTGAGGGGAACGGTAGATTTGACTACTTTCCTACACATGCCAAATTGAAAAGATGTACTACCCAAAATCTACTACCGCACCCCTGTATACATTTTATCTACTACCGCACACATCGATATGGCCAATGTAGATGGACAGTCTGCTGTTTAATATCTTTGGGGTACATATGGTTTGAGGTGAAGTAGTGAATTCTACTCCCCCCTCCATTGTTTGGTAACTACCTCCCTCTTCTTCACATCAGTCTATCAGTAGTAATTTTTTTACCAACACAATTTTTATTGGTCAGCTGATAATTCTTAATGATAACACTGATGGCTAAACCGATATTGGGAGAATGCTGGCTTAAAAGAAAAAATAGGTCATAACATTTTTTTGGCAGACTTACCAGTCTCAAAACTGTAGGGAACATCTGTCGAATGTCACTGGAAGGAAATGAAAGGTTTGCATAGAAAACAAAGACATGCATTAAGTACAAGTGAACAGCATAAAAAAGAGAATAAGATTTGACGAAAGGTTATTATTCTCTACTCCTTTAACATTAATAGAGATTAACCAAAGCACATCTCATTTAAAGGGTGAGACAACAACAGTTAACGCTATGCTGAGAATCAGTTTAACATTAGAAATTAAAATGATTCAATATAACTTATTAATAGTTGCTGAAAAGATACAACAGATTAGATTTTAAAGCATTCTTTATTGTTATCTTAAAGGTGGTAATACTCTTTAACAACTACTTACCAATAACATACTTACATCAAGAGATGCGGTGTTAACAAATTTCGCTGACGGTATACAATGAAAAAGTGTAAGCTAGGATTTATAGTGAGTTTGGCGAACATATCATTTCCCTTGAAAATCTATAGTGGCAGATGCCTCTAAAAATTGACTGACCAGGGTATGGCTGTGCACGGAGGTTACAAAATAGGCTCGCACCGAGGCTAAGCACTGAAGTGACATACTCAGGCCATGCACTGAGGTTCCTCACTGACACTATGCATTGATTTAGGCTATGAAGTACCAACTCCCATTATCTCATCAATTTTTAATGGGATGTTGGTAGTCATGAGTCAGAATTAAAAAGAAAGTTGTGTTTGTAGTGGCTTCTTTTGAACACCCAGCACAGAATCTCAGTACTAGAGGTTTTGGTATTCAAAAAAACTGAAACTCCACTGTTGCTGAAAATAGCATTCATGAACAATATGCATTTTAATGAAACCAACGGTTTGCCAATATACTTTAAATTTGTTTGTTTCTACTCAAAAACTTTGTTGATGTAACTAATGTATTTATATATGCCGAGTTACAAAAAATATGCTTTTCGTATTAATTTTGAGAAAATTTTGAGATTAAAAGAATATCTTGTCGTTTGCCATTCTCTTGTTTACTATGTTTGTGTCTTTAAGTACTGGTTCCAGGAAATTGTTGTCAAAATTCCATTCTCTTTAATATGGAAATTACTTTTCTATACTAAAATTGACATTTGGTGTATTAGATAATTCTTTGTAAACTAGATTGTTTATATTGGTAGTTAACAGAGTACTGTTCTGCTGATACATTCAGTAAAATCTGAATAGTGCTAAAAATTCACCAGATGGTGAATCTTATGTTTTTTCATCTGCTTGAATAGATTAGGTTAGTCACATACCAGCATAATTTTAACTTTAGGGAGGATTGAAGCTTGAGACCTCCCACTTACAGGGAATCAGAGGACTGGTAAACCAAGAGGATATGCTGGTTTTCTCTGATTTTTTAGCCATTTTTTTCCCATATATTTCAGGATATTTCATAAGTTTATTTATATTTTCTTCTCGTACTGGTATCTTCCTTCATTTTAAGTGCTGTTAGCATTTCCTTAAGTTGATATGTATGTGTGCTATATAAATCATATATATATAAATATATATATATATATATATATCATATTATATATTACTGACCAGCATTGTAAGTTGTTATCATTGCCATGGCCTGAGCCTGCCTTAGGTTACCTTCCACAGTTGGAGGTCATACCCGTCATTGGCTTCGAAGGCACACGGTCAAGACTGCACACGCCGTGTCATGGTGCACGGTCAAAGTGTGCCATGTTCATGGTCAGAGTCATGTGCTCATTCTCAGTCAAACATCAAGTTGTTTTACGGCCAAAGCTGTATTTTAACAGCAGACCGACCATCACTGAGATGTAATGTAGATTACAATTACAGCCATTTCTCGTCCTCTGGTTTGGATATGACGCTTTCTCATCCTTAACTTTATTAGGAAATTATACTTCAAGGCCTCGAACATCAACTTGGAGTAGGTATCAGAAATTTCCTCATTTTTTTTCCTTAAAATATACCAAGCAAATATTCTTCTTTTTGGCAAGAATTTAAGTAAGTCCTGCACATTAATTATCACATTGTGCAAATAAATGCAGAAACTTGTGACAACTTGAAAAGACAACAAAACAAAGCAAATGTAAAAGTATGACAAGAGAAAATGCTTTTAATAAATTAAATAAATGTTAAATTGTAGTAAATTAAATGTGACTTTGGAAGCCTTTAAGTATATTGGCAGAATGTTGGTATCTTTTAATTTACGTCTGAGAAAAAAGATCAGGGAAAAAGCTAATAAAACCATCAACATTACTTTTACATTCGAATGAAACTAATCAAATTGCCCTTCAATTTAAACCTAAATGTGAGTCCATCCCTTTGGAGCAAATGGAATAATCCACAGGAATCAAAATACCACCAGATTACATCAGCTTAGGAATAAACCATTTTAGAGAAAGGGTGATACATTGGATTACCTGACATAGTCTGTCTTGTCTTTGTAATAGTTACAAAGTGAATTTCCATCCAACTTCAGCTCCTCCAACTTCAGTCCCTTCAGGACTTGTAAATCCTTCATATGCTTAAGCTAAAGACAGAAAAATATATACATTTAAACAAACTATAAAAAAGCTAAAAAATTAAATCAGGCTGCGGAGGAAAAATGTTGTAAAACTAATTTTTTTAAGGCTCAAAAAGCATATTTAACGAAAAAATCTGGAACAGTTGAGATAGAGGTTTTAACATTTAAAAACTGGGGTTGAAAAAGGTTGATAAAGGGGTGGTTATGCTCCTTTTCCCCCAGTTCTAAAATATTCAAAAATTTGTATCTCATTAACCGTTCCCTACTTTTTTTTTGTCTAAATATGCTTTTTGTGTCTTAGAAAAATTAGTTGTACAACATATCAAAACAAATTTTCCCTCCGGAGCCTGACTTTAATTAAAAATTTATCAACCTTTAACAGTTTCAAAGCTGATTAATATGGGAAGCTGCACACTTTCACAATTAGGGCTTACCTCTTTGGTTTTATAGTACGCAATAAGTTTGTACATGTGTGTTTTACACGACAGACTCTCCAGGAATATGACTTCCACAACATGGGACTCCTGGATAGATACAATCCCCTGCACTTCCTTTAAATTTGAAACCTACGCATCTTTTGTATTGATGCAGGACCAACATTCTTAACGGAACAATGATTGGTATTTATTATTTTCATATAAATAAATTTCCTTTTTACCGTATTCTTTGTCAGATCAATCACTTTTAGATTTGGAATCTTCTCTGGCAAACTTTCAAAACTACTCAGGGTGTACAAGAAACATTTGCTGACAATCAATGACTGGATCTGTAACAGCAAATTTCAAAAGCTTATCATTTATTGCTGATTGGTTGAGTTACAACTGCACAGCCTCCTGATTGGTCAAGTACAACGATGAAGCTCTCTGTTTGGTCAATTCAGTTCTTGATGTAAAATGTTTCTCTTGTAGTAGATATAATCATATTGTGTAATACAAACATTTTTAGCAATTGGCTACCATGTGGGCGGATGAGGCGCAGTGTGTAAGGTGTTGGACTTCAGATCATGAGATCGGGAGTTCAAGAGCGATGCTCGCGTCGCAGCGCTTGTGTCTTTGGGCAGGACACTTTACTTATATTTGCCTCCCTTCACCCAGGAGCACAAATGGGGGGGGGGGGAGATCATGCTTTTAACCTCCTCATCGGTGATCCTGCTACAATTGTTCCAGTCAATTAATAACAGCAACTAGAATTCATTATACGCGATTATTTGCTAAAGGAAGCTACAATTAAACCAACTGTGTAGCTCCTGTGATTCATACGAATGAACCATGTTGCAAAGTTATAATGGAATTAATACATAAAAAAAAGACTTCTTGTTATAATTGACTCACATCTGGTGGTTTTGTCTCCAACAAATCAAGAACATGTTGTTAAGCTGTAGACTGATGGGGTCAAGGGAAAAAGCCGGTTTGATTGCAGCTTTGTTTATTGTAAGGCGTTGAAGGGGTTCCAAAAGCTTACTGATTAAAACGTAAAGTTTAAAAATTCCCTTGTAAGTTTTATTACAGACAATAACAAATTATATATTTAGTACACTTTTTACTATATGTGGACATTGTCAATTTGGGGGATATGGGCCTTGTGCGGACTGAATTAATAAAGAACCTTCGCAACATTATTAAAATGTCAACTTTGCTTACCTCAGGTATGTTCTCACTGATAATCTTAATCACAGCCTGCATGTAATAGTTTTTGTGGAGCTCAACATACATATTCTTCCCCTGTAAATCTATTCAAACAAAAATCAAGATTTTACAGTCTGCTGGGATATATTTTTTAAATATATGACATAAATCTTCAGTAATGGATGGCCCCTTAGAGCCAGCTTCTTAGCTGCAAGGGCCACCCTTTTTAAATAATAAAACATAATATAAGATGAAATGAAAAATAAATTAGAGGTAATAATGAAATTTTGCAGCAGTTCTGAAATGGATATATGCACTCTGTAAATCTCATGAAATAATACATTTTAAAAACATGTTATAATTATTGTACCTTTGTCATTGTAAATGTCACTTAAATTCAGTGACTTTGTCACTGGATCGTATCGGTTACTCATAGCAGTCTTTAGAATCTCTAGCCTCTCTGCATTCAGTGTAGCCCCCGCTGGTGGATCGCAGTTTCGTGTTAGGATTAACACCTAAAATGACAAGACATAAAATTAATAAAATATAAGTTGATAAATGTAATTTTTCGTTTTGTACAACATTAATTAGTTATTAAAACATATGTAATAAGAGCAGTGGTGGCTTCAAATATTTGCTGATGGGGTCTGACAAGGGGGTCAGAACCAAAGGGCCAACTAGAGCTTTGTTCAATGTCCAGGAAGAAAAGTCCATGGTAGGGTTCATGGGGAGAGATTTTATGGTGTAGTATGGCCCAAAATTGTGCTTTTAGACCACAATATTAGAGAGTAGAATATAAATGCCGTTTTTTGGATAGGGGTCCATGCCTATCCAAAAGGGGGAAATTTTTCCCCTCAGAGTCCTGGTGCTAAGTAATTAAGACCATTTTGTATAACATTTTCACTAAGTAATTAAGACCATTTTGTATAACATTTTCACTAAGTAATTAAGACCATTTTGTATAACATTTTCACTAAGTATTTAAGACCATTTTGTATAACATTTTCACTAAGTAATTAAGACCATTTTGTATAACATTTTCACTAAGTAATTAAGACCATTTTGTATAACATTTTCACTAAGTAATTAAGAACATTTTGTATAACATTTTCACTAAGTAATTAAGACCATTTTGTATAACATTTTCACTAAGTATATTAAGACCATTTTGTATAACATTTTCACTAAGTATATTAAGACCATTTTGTATAACATTTTCACTAAGTAATTAAGAACATTTTGTATAACATTTTCACTAAGTAATTAAGACCATTTTGTATAACATTTTCATTAAGTAATTAAGACCATTTTGTATAACATTTTCAAAGCTTTCCCTAGCTCCAATGTTGGAAAGCTTACCTTGTATCCACTGGGTGCTATTATTTTGCGAGATGCTTCACTGAGTGGAGCTCCTAGAGTGAGGTCATCAACGTAGAAAATTGCAGATTCACCACTGTAATGAAACTGAAGAAAACAACACAAACAAATTTAACACAAAAAAAGACATAACTAGACTTACTATATCCCTGGTACTGGTAGGGTTCATGGTTCATGTCTGTTTCTAAAATAGAAACTAGAATCACTCCTTTTACGCTACGCAGTAAAAGCACAGCCTCCCCGCTGTACAAATTTGTCCAGTAAAAAATGTTTAAATATTTTGAATTCTGAAAATGTATAAGCATTTTGAATTTGTTTCGGGTGAGTATTATGATGGTATTATGGCCATGGTGAAGACTGTTTTAACTTACATCCACAGGAACAAATGGTATTGAACATTCTTCTTGAATGGCCTTTATCAGCCACTCTTTCTCAACCTTCTTTCCATGAGGAATCTAAATAAAAAATGATTATATAAATTAACAATAAAACAACAAGTATCTTTGGTTGTGAAATTTAAGAAAACACAACACGGCAGCCAGCTTTTGGCATGCAATACTAATAATTAAATCGTCAACAATTTGTAATTTCAAAAAACCAGAGTTACTGTGGCCGCCACGCAACAGACTTTTTTAATACCTTGTTTAGCAAACTCATTTATTTAAGATAGTCAGTGGAGAGCAAAAAACAGAGCAAGAATTATTTTGCCAAAGGCATCTAGACAGAGTAGAAAATAAAAATAAAATGTTATTGATGAATGTAAACAGCTTTAGTACTGAGATTGATAAATGCTTTAAATTTATATATTATAATTGAAAAAAATATATCTGATTTTTGGAGATTTCAGGGGAGCTGAGAGTGTACCTGAAATTTCCCAACATTATAGGTGGTCGGAGGGTTCACTAAACAAGGTATAAAAAGAGTCTCACGAAATGAACGCCTTCTTTTAGTAGATAATGTGTCATTATTATGATCTAAAATATTGTTTGAAGGCTTGCATGGTGACGTAATAATATATATTAATGCTTGCAGAACAATGCCACAGTATTGGCTTTCTAGCCATGCCCTACTCATTTTGCACAGACTGTGGATTTTGGCTTTTGTATTAGCCTTTTCACACAGTCTTAGCTTTTGTTTAGTTTTCAACCAATCACAAGCATGTCTCACCAACCAAAACATAAATATTTCACTGTTTCGGGATTTCCGCAGTTATCATTCTCCTTTGCAGAGATATTCTCAACCAACAACAACAGTTCTTTTCAGAACTATCTACATTGTGTACCACAAGCATTAATACATATTATGATCTAATTCCAAGCAATTTTATACTTTAAATGTGTAAAGTACTGTACCTTAACTTCAACCCACGAATAATGGGCATTTCTTTTCTGATTCTTTGATGAAGCTCTGCCATGTCTCTGCCTTTTACTGCTGCCGTAAGGGTTGCTGATGAAAGAGAGGAGGAACATTTATTTTTCAAGTACCATAATTATTTGAAAAAACGCTCTGGGGCGTTTATTGTTAAGAGGGTTTTTGAGGGAGGAGTTTATTCAAGGGAGTGTTCATTTATTTTGGTGCATTAATTGGATACATATATACTCCAATAAACGCCCCTTAATTTCCCTGTAAATGTGGAACCTATACAGGTAATTAGGAATACCGCCAAAATGTGTTATTATGTGATAATAGAGACTTCCTAGTAGCTTAGAAAAATGCATGTGGGCAATTTCATAATGCAGAGTGAAGATGTGTATAAGAGACAGTGTGCGGACTGAATTAATAAACTCTCATTTAAAAACAATATTATAAACGTTAGAAAAACCAACTCATTTATCATTGTTTAGTTTTTTTTTTCTTTATTTTCTTTTTTATGTTTAGTTTAGCTTTTAAGGATCACACATGTAAAACAATGCTTGTGGTGGGATACCCTTTTCAACATATCATAAAATAAGTGATATGTAAAATATTTATTTAATTTTGACATTTGTGGAATAAAGAATTGAATTGAATTGAAAAAAAACCCTTATTTTCTGTCGTATAGAGTTGTCAAGAGGGCGACACGGACTCGTTCAACCTCGGTACCCAAGCATCAGCTAAGTGGTCGATGTGTAATGAAGATCCTAACAAGAATTGCATTAGTTATACTGCAAATCAAGATAACGTAGATCGGTAAGTTCATGTTTTCCTACGCAATTTACTCAAATCAGTCAGTATTTCGCAAAAGAAATGTTTTGTTAGTGAAAATATTTGTTCAAATTTAAATATAAATGTCATATCCCAATATTCCTTGATGAATTTATTTGCTGACTTCAAAATGTCTAAGAAAGTATAATACATACTCCAAGTATTAAAATACACGCCATCGTGTTAGGATTCAATATTTCGACATTAATTATGTCATCATCAGGAATGAATCAAAATGTCTATAAATCCAATCATCGGCTAAGTGGTCGATGTGTAATGAAGATCCTTCAAAATGTCTATAAATCGAATAGTTTGGTGACAAAATTTTGTATGGAAATAGCCTATAATATATAATACAGGCATAGCTTAAAATAGCTAAAAGCATTTGCTGTAGGCCTATTTAAATATGTACAAGTATACTAAATTTAATAGGGTAATTCAAGTGTCAACTAATTTCGCTGCATTACCTAAATATTGATTCCTGATATGGGGGCTGTCTCTTATACACATCTAGATGTGTATAAGAGACAGAAGCGACCGTGTGCTTACCCGGAACTCATCTTAACAGGTATAGGTATTCATTTGTACCTGTCTCTTATACACATCTAGATGTGTATAAGAGACAGTAATACGTACTTTGGATGGTGTTCTGTTTTGTTCCGGTCATTTTACGTATATTTTCATGTTTCATGTTAAAGGTGATTTAAAGCAAGCCATAAAGCTAGCCCACTGAATATCAATGACGTATTGTCGAGCCGCAATATTGGACTTACTGTACAGAAGGTGAGAATGCTAATTGGGAAGCCCGTCGACTACGATCAATATCCGGATGACATAAAAAACCGAAAAAACGAAAAGGATGTAAGCTGTCTCTTATACACATCTAGATGTGTATAAGAGACAGGTTTTTGGGGATTGTGAGTGTAATTTACATGTAGACTGACATATGAATCTAATGACATACCAAATCCGAATTAAACGTCTACTGAAAAAGAGCCGTCATAGAAACAATTGCTTTGAGTTCCTTTTTCATCAGGTTGATTACAATCGATTTTTAAGTATTCATAAGGTGATAATGCACTTTATTAAAACAACGGAAGGCGTAACTATCACTTTATCTAACGTTTTACTGAGTGTGTCATTTTAATTAATAGATAATCTCCATGACAACGCTATTGGGACTATGCTCTGCACGAATGGTTCATTCACAGTATTTCGTCCGGAAATCGTTGCATTGTTTATTAACTTGTTGTCCCACGTGGTGCATGGTGGGATGGATATATGACATGGATGTTTTAACTTCACGGTGCTCACACAGACGGAAATCAACTTCTCCTTGTTGCTGTAACATGCGGAGAAGGTGATTTCCCTCTGTACGTCTAGCCATCTAGCCATGGATTCCTCCATGGCCTAGCTCGCTGTTCGCCTTAGAATGACTGAGCCCAAAGGCTGTTCGTATAGTAGCTGACATTAACATGACAATAAACAGAAAATAGCGATCTTGTTGACATTATCTGTGTGAAATATTTTGTAAAGACATCGATAAGAGGTGAATTAGTAAAACTTTAGGTATTTCGTCAGACTTTCATTGAAATTTTAACTGGTCATGCGGACTTGTTATTGGGATAATTAGCAGGTCCGCCATGCATTTTACTAGCCATTGGCTGGCGGACCAGCGTTATTTCGAACCCTGCATTTTCAAATCTTTCCCAGGCTCCAATGTTAGAAAGCTTACCTTGTATCCACTGGGTGCTATTATTTTGCGAGATGCTTCACTGAGTGGAGCTCCTAGAGCGAGGTCATCAACGTAGAAAATTGCAGATTCACCACTGTAATGAAACTGAAGAAAACAACACAAACAAATTTAACACAAAAAAAGACATAACTTGACTTACTATATCCCTGGTACTGGTAGGGTTCATGGTTCATGTCTGTTTCTAAAATAGAAACTAGAATCACTCCTTTTACGCTACGCAGTAAAAGCACAGCCTCCCCGCTGTACAATTTTGTCCAGTACAAAATCTTTAAATATTTTGAATTCTGAAAATGTATAAGCATTTTGAATTTGTTTAGGGTGAGTATTATGATGGTATTATGGCCATGGTCAAGACTGTTTTAACTTACATCCACAGGAACAAATGGTATTGAACATTCTTCTTGAATGGCCTTTATCAGCCACTCTTTCTCAACCTTCTTTCCATGAGGAATCTAAATAAAAAATGATTATATAAATTAACAATAAAACAACAAATATCTTTGGTTGTGAAAACACAACACGGCAGCCAGCTTTTGGCATACAATAATAATAATTAAATAATAATAAAATAATAAAAATAATAAAAATAATAAAAATAATTATAATAATAAAATAATAATAATAATAATAATAATAATAATAAAATAATAATAATAATAATAATAATTAAATAATAATAAAATAATTAAAATAATAAAAATAATTAAAATAATTATAATAATAAAATAATAATAATAATAATAAAATAATAATAATAATTAAAATAATAATAATTAAAATAATAAAAATAATAAAAATAATAAAAATAATATAATTAAATAATACAATACTAATAATTAAATCGTCAACAATTTGTAATTTCAAGAAACCAGAGCTACTGTAGCTGCCACGTAACAGACTTTTTTAATACCTTGTTTAGCAAACTCATTTATTTAAGATCGCCAGTGGAGAGCAAAAAACAGAGCAAGAATGATTTTGCCAAAAGCATCTAGACAGAGTAGAAAATAAAATGTTATTGATGAGTGTAAACAGCTTAGTATTGAGATTGATAAATGCTTTAAATTTATATATTATAATTGGAAAAAATATATCTGATTTTTGGAGATTTCAGGGGAGCTGAGTGTGTACATGAAATTTCCCAACATTATAGGCGGTCGGAGGGTTCACTAAACAAGGTATAAAAAGAGTCTCATGAAATGAACGCCTTCTTTTAGTAGATAATGTGTTCATTATTATGATCTAAAATATTGTTTGAAGGTTTGCATGGTGACGTAATAATATATATTAATGCTTGCAGAACAATGCCACAGTATAGGCTTTCTAGCCACGCCCCACTCATTTTGCACAGATTGTGGATTTTGGCTTTTGTAAAGCCTTTTTACACAGTCTTAGCTTTTGTTTAGTTTTCAACCAATCACCAGCATGTCTCACCAACCAAAACATAAATATTTCACTGTTTCGGGATTTCCGCAGTTATCATTCTCCTTTGCAGAGATATTCTCAACCAACAACAACAGTTCTTTTCAGAACTATCTACATGGTGTACCACAAGCATTAATACATATTGTGATCTAATTCCAAGCAATTTTATACTTTAAATGTGTAAAGTACTGTACCTTAACTTCAACCCACGAATAATGGGCATTTCTTTTCTGATTCTTTGATGAAGCTCTGCCATGTCTCTGCCTTTTACTGCTGCCGTAAGGGTTGCTGATGAAAGAGAGGAGGAACATTTATTTTTCAAGTACCATAATTATTTGAAAAAACGCTCTGGGGCGTTTATTGTTAAGAGGGTTTTTGAGGGAGGAGTTTATTCAAGGGAGTGTTCATTTATTTTGGTGCATTAATTGGATACATATATACTCCAATAAACGCCCCTTAATATCCCTGTAAATGTGGAACTATAACACATAATTAGGAATACCGTCAAAATGTGTTATTGTGTGATAATATAGACTTCCTAGTACTGTAGCTTAGAAAAATGCATTACTGGAGTACAACATTAATAGAATGTGTTGAAAATGATGTTGCTTTTCATTAGATTTGTTTCACAATCATTTAGGGGAGATGTTTATTCAAGAAAGAATAAATGCATCAGGGTGTTTATTCAAATGTGGTGTTTATTCCAAATGAGGCATTTATTCAAAGCGGGCCATTTATTCGGATAAATATGGTGATTTAAAAAGATTTAAAATATGTTATAGTCATCCAGCACATAAATATACAGTACAGAGCAAGTACAGTAGAACCCCTCCTTTGGGACAACAATATTAAGGGGACAACCCTGCTAAGGGGTCAACCCTATTAAGGAGACACCCCTATTAAAAGGACACATTTTGGCCATAAAATGAAGGAAACAAATTACAGAATGTATCTTTTAACAGTATGGGCAACCTTATCTTCGGGACATCCCTATTAAGACGACACTTTCTTGAGACTAAAAGACCAGTAATAGAGGTTTTGTTAATACTGTAGCATTTATTGATACTCTCAGTTTAATTTTTGGACTGCATCTAGGGGTTGAAGACAGGCTTAGCAAAACTGTTTCAACAGTTATTAAGTAGTAAACAAACAATAATAGTGGATTAAAGTCACTACTATGTCGTAAAAAAAGCAATGGAATGGAATGGATTTAAAGCAAAGAATGAAAAATAAAGCATCTGCATCTGTAGTATAGTTTGCCCTCTAATTTGAGACTTACTTTGGGACATGAAAAAGTAGGATGGCCTGGGATTAGAGGGTTACCATAGCTTTGTGTAAAAAATTGAAGATTCTTATTTAATTCTTTGAAAAAATGGTCTCAAATTAGAGGAGTCTTGAATTGAACGGTGAACTGTACAGTAGCATACACCTTGATTTAACTAATCAAAGTAACATGCAGCACTACCAAACTACATGTAGCACTACCAAACTACATGTAGCACCTCTGTTGAGGCCTCTTTGAATACATCTAATGTTATTTTGTGGTTTATAATTATCCTGTTTAGTTTCTTTTAATTAACTAAATAATTTGCATAAATACCAGTGAATACCATAAAATCCATAATAAAACCTGTTCGTACCAAATACTCAGTACGCCCCCAAATACTTGCAAAAAAAAAATTCACACAGTTTTTCGCACAATAATAAGCCTCCGCTTGAATAAATGTCGACAGTTTTAAACTCCCCAAACTTGCTTATTTGTACATTTTTTATCGTAGGTTAACTTACCGAAAAGCATTGATGGATGTTCCTAAAATCCAGTAATTTTGACTCATTAGATTCAAAATGGAGTGAAAGAAACAGATGGAAAGCTTGAACATGTTTGCATAGCTTTGTTGTGTGAAGACGGATCTAGCCCTAGACTAGACGGAGTCACACAAACAACATTCTTCTGACTCAATGGTCATCGTAGCCAAAAGAAACATATCTTATTCTACTCTAAATCAATTAAAAGTTTGTCCAAATACTGTAAATATTTTATACAGAAATTGCAACAAATGACTTGTTGGCAATATTTTTATAACATTTTAGACGATACACCACTATAAATTCTGCTTACAGTAGAAGATACACAACTATCAATTCTGCCTAATGTACATATACATACACTGTTGGGAATGTTAAATGTTTTTGTACCCAATATATGAAATCGTCATGACATCATCTCTGGTGACTAAGTTGGTCTATTAAAAGACCATTTCTGTGACCAAGTTTTTCATGGTATTTATCAATAATGGTCTCCAATTTATAAAAAAATATTACATTTACCATTAAAAGTAAATATCATCAGAAGCCACTTACTGTCTATGCCTCTCTGGCGGTGGGTTTCTGCCATCTTCTTTCATCACAACGTCCTCATCTTCTGACCTTGGATGGGGTGCTGCACCGCCACCTCCATAACCTCTGTCATGGCCACGAGGAGCACTGTTCCTTGGGCCATAGCTTCCTCGCGAGAATGAGCCTCTAGAGCCACGACGACGGGAGCTACGGAACTTTCCAGCACTCGATTGGCCTCTATAGTAATCGTTTCCTCCATGATAATTGTCATTGTAGAAGCCCCTTCCTCTTCCACCTCTGCTAGGTTCTCCTCTTGACCCTCCACCTCCTCTTGGGGGACCTCCTCCCCTCCAATGTCCTTCTGGCATTCGACCACCTCCCTGTCTGTCATCATGTTCTGTGAATTCAAGTACAACATTTATTTAAAAGAAATTTACATTTTTCTATTTAACTGGGTTTGAGATGTTATGAATTTTTTATATTTTGATTGGTAATTTATTGTAGTTTAAGGTTTTTATAACAATTTTATTTTATAATCTGCTAGTCTCTTTTAATTTATATCAATTTTGCAAACACTAATCTTAGTAAATATTCTAAATCAATAATTTAATCAATTTGTATATATTATTATACAAATAATAATAATTTTGAGTGCTGAAAGTTGAACTCACATTTAACTTTAACCAGAATCGATAAATTTACGACGTACATGATGACCGATAATGCAAGTCTATTTAAGTATGACTGCGCATACGTTATATATTTTTCGTAAGTGTATCGTTTACTGATCTATTTACGACAGTCACGTAAATATATCCACTTCCAGGTTAGTAGCCTGGCCCTAGGCTACGCCTCCTGGCCTTTGGCCCTAGCCTAGCTAGTCCTAGCCCTAGTTATATAGGATTTGTGGCCTAGCAAGCTAGGACGGCAAGACGACAAACTTACGATAAAAACTTCTGCCGCCATCTCGAGATGCAGTCACACTAAATGGCCGAGATTTATTGTATCCCCTAGACATATCACTGGCTTTCTAGCTGCAAATTTCAACCAATACAGCATTTAAAACCTTTATAAAGTAACAATCTATCCGATTTCGTCTCCTCGCCGTATTCGTGCATGCATTCAACGCACGCGCAGTAGTACACGCATTGAGGGCGTCGTGCAAATTCACTTTGGCAGTCATAATTTTACTTTAAAAGGCATCATTATTGTGACCATGACAAAACACCATAAAAAAAAACATAGGTATACATTCAATTTTTGAATTCAAGAACACTGTATTGTCCCAGATCTAAATAGGAGTTTTGTCTTTCCTTTGCAAAATAGATGGGTTTAAAAGAAAATTAAAACATTAATTTTCTCATAAAACGAATAAAAATCTGCTAACATGCATTATGATTATTATTCAGTCAATTATCAGTTAATATTTTTTTTTCATTTTTTATTACTATTTGTAATGTCATTATCATATCACTATCAATATCAGTATCAGCACCAATACTATTAACATAACCAACTTCAATACCAATATGCATCAATTATATCAATATTATGGCCTAATCAATATCAATTTCAATGCCAATGTCAATATCAATACCATATAGGCCTATCAATATCAGTATTAATATCAATATCAATATCAATATCATATTATTATTATCAATATCAATATCAATACCAATAAGCCTATCAACATCAATATCAATATCTTAATTCCTATATCAATAATAAAATTACTTGTGCAGATGGAGGTGATGAGTTATGATGCTTGATGCGTATGCCATACCGGTAAACTTACCTTCATATTAGACCGTCGTTTTCCACTTACACGATGCACTATGTACATAAACTATGAATAAGGGGTCAATACAACCGATTAAAGGCCAGCATGTGTATGTCCGTTTTATATTGCTCTTCAACCAGTTGTATGACCACCTTGATCAAAACATGGGCGTTAATTGCACCAATCTGATCTCATGGCAATGGAAACGAGTTTATATAAAACATTAAAAAAAAGAAGTAGAAGTATTACAGTAGACGTCCTGACACTACTGGTTGGATGTATTTTGACTGAGATAATTAATACCAATGTGTCAACAATTACTTTTTAAGATAATGTAAATACTGTACCCTGAAACTCAAATGGAACGTTCCTTTATAATCGTCAAGTAGTGTGTTAACACAGTTCACAAATTTTACGATAGAAGCAGCAGTAAATGAAAAACTTTGAAAAAGGACTTACTGGGGGAAATTCAAATAAGGTGAACTTAACGACAGCAAGAACACTTAATTGAAGGTAAATATTTTTTTTATATTAAGATGACCGCAATAACGATTACCAAATGTAGCTCCAACTTTCTCAAAATTTATAACATTCTTACAAAGTTCTAATTTTAAATTAATTATCACGGTAGTCCTTGAAACCTGACAAAAGACATTTGGAATGTACCTCCTTGGTATTCATTTACAGGTATATACTAATTTTTACCCAATTAGTGGTATCTTAAATAACTTTGAATGGCTATGAAAAAGGACCCCACTAAGAGTCGGGATTGAGGCATAGGGCATATGATTTTTTTATTGGTGCGTTTCACAACGTAAAAAAAAAAAAAAAAAAACGAAACCTGAACATTTTCTAACTCCAAGTCAATGTGTTTCATTTATTGTTCGACTTCTTTTTACTCAAATGGATCAAAGGTATTCATAATGGGCGAACATCGTTTAAACAATTTCCTAATAAGGTATGGTTTGACCCTCCCACCAAAATTGTGCTAGTGAATTGTTTGGTCCAGGTAAGGAGGCACCTGATCCCAGAAAAGATCAAGACTTAACCGATGCTAAACCGGAGTACATAAACACAGATCTCCGGTTGGCGGTGGTGGTGTAACCCCATACTTCGGTTTTGGTGCTAGCTTGGTGCTTATTTGTTTGTTTGTTTGTTTTTTCTTCTTCTTCTTTCTCTCCCCTGGCTTTATTCTGTTTTCTTGACTACAATTTTACCGAGCGCATAGAGAGCTCGTTGATTTCCGCTATATAAATCCATCTATTATTATTATTATTATTATTATTATTATTATTATTATTATTATTATTATTATTATTATTATTATTATTATTATTATTATTATTATTAGGCCCATTATTATTATTGTACCGTTTCAGTATAAAAAGGTTAATAAATATATTCAAACGTTTACAGGCTCCTGAATTAGTTAAGGGTGTGAATAAATTAAATTTATGTTAGTCTGAAAAGTTCCTGTCCATCTCATATTTAATAACTTAAGAAAAAATTAATGAGAACAAAATCGACAATTGTGAATCAATATTTTAACATAATATGTAGGCCTAACCACCATTTAGCAGATATTCGATAGACCCTATCTGCTAAATGGTGGTTACACCTTCTTATACAGATCTGCTCCGCTGGCCTTGCTAACTATCCTCTAAAGGTTTTATTTTTTAATCCGTGTATTCTCGTCCATTTAAAAGATATTCAACTCCAATCGTCAAGGCCTACATTTTGTCTTGTATAGTTGTCTCAGATTCTGCCAGAACACAAAAGACTTTTTCTCCTTCCGGCAGTACCTTAATAGAATATAGAATATAGAATAATGTACCTATTGAAATTCGGAACTCTCTTAGTAGTATACAGTACTTTTAGGTCATCATTTCATGTGTTTCTTTCAGTGAACTCAAGGTCATATTCAGCATTCTGCAGTTACATTTATTAGTTTTCTTATGTTATCACTTACGAATTCACATAGCTGTCTTTCCCACAGGACTCTAAACTGTACTACTGTATTATATTCTGAAAGTACAACATGGACCTCCGCTAAGACTTGTTGCTAGGATATTGTTGCTAAGGTGCGAGACCTTTAATGTATTAAAAGTGAGTAAAAAACCTGCATGGCACGTTTTTGGGACATGCACGTATTCATGGTTATCAAAACACGTTCTGAATGTTGTGATGTTTAATTTGATTGACACTCGGGGAAACTACATTCACACTCACGTTAGTTTGATGGGCGTGTCTCTAAATAAGTGATCAACTAAAACGTTATATTATGATTGTTCCGATTGTTAAATTTGAGTGTGATTAGTTCCATGTTTCTTAAAAGGGTAATTTAATTTCAAATTTTGATTTTTAGAATTTTCCGCATAAGTTGCGATATGGTTTCCAACCTTCTGAATTAGCGTTCTATGAAAATCATTATCACTGTCATCATTGCCATCATTGCCATCATTGTTATTGTATCATTTTTAATTGAATTGAAATGTTTTAGATACTCCAACACACACACATTTACAGAAATGGTTACACAAATTACGGACCTATAATTCAATAGGAAAACGATTTGAAAAAAAACCCAAAAAAACAAACAAACAAAACAGTGTTGTTATGGTTGTTATTATTTGTGTAGTTAGGATTTAGCGTCTTGCCCAAGGCACGCGAACGACGGACTTTGCATTTGAATGACGTGGAATACGGAGGGGAAGGGAAAGATGGAAAAAGAATGGGTAACATCCGTCTTGGGACGTTATTTACAATATAGGCCTAGCTGCCTACACTAACTACGTAGGCCTACATTGTCATCTTTGGCACTGTCATCGATAGTGTTTTCACAGTGTATTTACGCAGCGGCATTGTGTGCTAAACCACTTGACACAAACTACTACAGTAGGAAGGGGACACCTTCGGGACCAAAAAAGTGTTCTCTTAATAGGGATCTCCCTTGAATACGGGTTTAGTGTTAAAATTATACTTTCCTTCATTTCATAATGAGGTGTCCTAAAGGAAAGGTTATTATACTGTACAGTAGGCCTAGTTGGTTTATTTAATTTTCTAGTGCGCGTGCGTGGGAATTATTCTCATCAAGGCACAGTGTTTTCAAGGGTGTCCTTTTTCAATTAAAATATTTTGAGTATTTTGTCTCTAATATAATGCTTTCTTTTCATTAAATCTTTTCCGGGGTTTTTTTCTTCTTTTTTCTTTTCTTTCATTTCTTTTCATCTTTGCTTTTCAGTTTCTTTCTGTTCCACCTTATCATATTAGAGCTAAACTTTCTTTTCATTTTCATTTTAATCTTTTCTTTTCTTTTCTTTTCTTTTCTACTTTTCGCCTTTTCCTATTTCTTTCTTTTCATTTCCCCTTTCATTTCTTTCCATCTTATCATATCAGAGTTTATCTTTCATTTCTTTACAATCTTATAATTTAACGGTTTAAGTACGGGGCAAAGTATGACGCTCTTCAATATATACTTAGTAACATAAGAGGCCCCGATTTTTGATGTCATGCGGTCAGCAAATAGGGCCTAGGCCTAATTAAGGGCATTTAGGACCGAAGACAGAACTCAAATTTGAACCACAAGTTGAGAGTAGCTGAATAAGCAATTCAACCGTATACATACAAGATGATCAAGTAACTATGACGCCCTTCAATACGCACTTACCCTGTATGAAGAGGCCTGATTTTCTAAGTGTCATTATACTGTGAGCAAATGGGTTACTTAAGCCAGAAAGAGCTCTATCTTGAAACCACGACACATGAGTAAGCAAAATAATATAATTAAATGTAAATGCAAGTTATTTTGCCTATGAATTATCTATATATTAATAATTAAAATTTTAAATATAAATTGTAAATGTATTAATAATTAAATTAATTTCTGAAATTTTAAATTGTTGTATTTTATTCATAAATTATACTTATTTAATGAATCATCTTGCTTTTCTAACTTCAACTATTTTTTTTGCAAATTAACCAATGTACATGTCATTGCTAGATTTGATAGGCCTAACATTTGTCAATGCTTTTAATCTTTCTATTATATCAGTCTTTTTACACAACTTTATATATTTCTGTATTTTTAATTCTATTTATTCGACTGTAAGATCTTCATTTCAATCTTGAGTTGTTTTTAAGTATATATATATATATATATATATATATATATATATAATTATACATATCTTGTTATAAATAGAATTATATCTATACATATATACACATATATAATATATATTTATAATATATAGTATCATATTATACTATTTTCATAAGTTTCAGACATTTTACGTACATTGCCGTACATGTACATAGAGGTTATAATTTGTCAAGTGTTAACTCCATTATGTTTTGTGTCTTGAGAGCATTGATTAATACACATAACTTAACACCGCCCTCGGAGATATGGACAGCATTTCAATCATGAACCTTGGTTCAACTCATACAGGATGTACTCCAGTAGTTTATTGTAAGTGGAATTTGGAAATAAAAACTGTTAGAATGATGCGATTTGATTGTAAGGGCTCCTGTGGTATATACTAATTGAGGGTTTCGGAATATAACGAGCCTACGAATATGATTGGATGTTGTCACACCCTTCTTTTCTCGCATAGGGCCTACAAACATCGGCTTCACACTTTTAACAAATCACCATCACATTCTATCCAAGAGTGAAACATTCAGAGTGTTAATCAAAGTCAACAATCATAGTGTTAATTAATATATTAAAAACTCCCCTTATAAATCCACCCCCAATCCCCCTAACGTACCATGCTTGACAGACGATTCTAGATGTAATCCAATAAGTAGGTCACACAATTGCTAATGATTGAATTTAGTTTGTTCTTTAGAAATCCGAAATCAGTTATTTACCCCTTGCTCACACGGAATGCCTTCGATAGTATTGTTCCGTTTCTTTCTAGGGATTATCTTGTAAGTAAATATCTTTTATTGGATGTTGACTTTTTTATGTCCAGTGTCACAGCCGCTCGTCATAGTAGCTGATTTTCCCAGGCTTGTTCAAGATATTTTTTTTCTGGTCGTTTAATCCAGGCAGGACAACAGTCTCCTAGATGTTATACTAATAACCTATGCAGAGATTCAGACACAACTCTCAGGTAGAAACCATTGTACCTACACATCTATCGAGGACACTTACCAATAATAGGCTTAAAGGTAAATCAAAATTCGTATTAGGTTAGGTCTATCCATTTTTGCCATGTTCCCAATTAAATTCACAAAAGGGAATCTAATTTAGGTCATGTTTTCTAAATATTATTCATCTATGGATTGCAGGTTGTGACGTAAACTGCTGCTGTATACCATTATTCAATTCAATTACAAATCAATTTTGTCCCGGAAAAAGAAAATTTACTGACAAAAGTCATTACTCAAAAAACATAGCGTTCTGCACCGTCAAACTTCTGATAGACAGACACCCTGGATAACTTGTTCTTGTTTGGTTTTAGGGTGGGTTACACATAATTAGCGAATAGAGTACTGGATCACTTGGCCTATTATTAGGCATACATTGCATTAATATGCCTAATAAAATAATAACCCATTCACACATATAAGATTGTTGATTTTTTAAATACTGTAGGCCCTATATTCAAAACACATCACATCGGTAAAAGGTAAAGTCAGTTTTACATACGAATGTGCCATGATGGGGCCTTGAAAGAGAGACTACAATTAAACTATCTCCTCTGTGAAATCGAACCTCAGATGCTCATTCAATTTTGAATGACGATCGATATAAGTTGTTAATAAATAAGCTTGAGGTACGTACACCAGGAACTCGTGATGTCCATGTCGGTGACCCAACTACAAAACGTATTAGAAATACTGTTTAGAAGTAATTTTTAAGAAGCAGGTTCAATATTTATAAGTTTATTGGAGCAAGGTACAGTACACTATACTGCATGTAATTTAATAGGTGCCAGGAAAAATTTGGTCCGCCGGACCGATTTTGGCTTTAAAACTACCTGCCAAATGTAGTCCAGTAAGCCAAAATCGGTCCGGCATCTATTTAGTAGTTATAACCTGTATTTTTTGGCGGTGGGGGGGGGGGGGGGCCAAACCAAGGGGCCGGGGGGGGGGGGGGGGTCCAAACCAAAGGGCCGACGAAGCCTCTGTCGACGGCCTGGAATAAAATATCGTTTGATATAGGGTTCATGGGTTCATGGGTTCATACCTATTCGGATTCCGATTTAAATGAACAGATAGTCTACGACACCTGAGCCATTGGTTATACAGTAATAACAAACCATTGTAAGAATTTTAGGGCAAGTAAAGGAGATAATATTAGCCTTTACTTCTATTTCAACAAGTTTATGTTGGACAGAATAAAGTTTTTCCTTGCTGTCAATAGTAGGCTACTATATATATTCATCCTCATGGGAGATGGTTGTTGACATCTTAGGAATGTAGTACACGTTGAAAGGGGACAAATAATATTGACATTGTATTTGAGCGTTGTCACTTGATCTCATGTTTCAACTATCTTTTTATATTTTATTGATAAGCATTGTCTGGCTCCAACAAGCACGGATCCAGGTCGCAATTTGCCATTGTTTTGGTAGCGAAATATGACCCTCGAATATAATATTAAATCTCCCCACTGAACTCTTTTTATTTTGACAGGCGCTCCTCTATAGGTCCTATATGTCTTTAGGTTGTCCATGTGTAAAGAAAGAAAATTAGGCTAAATCACTGACTACAATGGATTGTGATTTGTTGGTAAACTGAACATCAGTAAATTGGCACCAGGATTACGTGGTAAGGGGAAGCGGTATGTAGTAAGGGGAAGCGTTATGTCGCGCGAGGAGGGGGAGATGTTCCTGAAATGGGGGTGGGGAGCTGTCTCTTATACACATCTAGATGTGTATCCCCAACTAGCGTGTAAGTGGGCGTGATCAGGTGTTTGCTCAAAAGCACCCCACCTCCCCTCTCCACTGGAGGCTACACCCCCTCATCCCTGACGCCACCCCAATTGAGTGTATGATAAGCCTTTAGTTTATCTTGACTTTTAAACTTGACTATATAATTATTATTGCAGTTGTGATTAGCATTATGGGCTGTCTCGAAAGCAAGGCGAATGCAGACGACACAAAGCTAGAGATCCCGCGCAGATTAAACTCGAAGCATCGGAATGGTTCTGTGAGATCGAAACACGATTTTGGAGCACAAATTGGGACTCCGTTTTCAAAGAAACGGGCACAGGAAAATGGAAAAGTTAATTCTGATCATGAGCATGAGGACGATATTAATGAAAATTTAATTATACGGGAAAATGAACTTAAACCTGAACCTTCAACGGGTGCTGATGACCAGGAAGAGGTGCAAGACAAATTGGAGACCATTGAGATCACCATAAGTGATCGTAACGACGATGATGGCAATGACGACGTTGAACAACCAACCGACGTTACAGATGGACGTTTGTTTGCAGAGAATGTGGTAGAAGAAAAGACAGATGCTTACGGGGAGTCAGAAAGTGTGGAGACGTCAAATGAATCGCCGATCACATTGCAACAGAAATGGTTACTTCAGGACTCGTGGCGTTATATTGAAAAAGACCTTCTAGAATTTGGAATGATCTTCTTTGTAAGGTAAAGCATCAGAAATTACAATTCGCCCATTATTTTAATGCGTTTCGTTAAAATAAGCCGTTAATTTAAAACTGTTTTTATCTTCACAAGGCTTCTGGAGCAGAATCCAGGACTAAAGAATTTGTGGTCTTTCGGTAAAATGAACTATCCAACGGAGGCAGAACTTCGAAACGATACAGCGTTTCAGGATCATTCTCTGCGGGTGATGGAAATGATCGGTAGTGCTATTGGTGGCCTAGAGGATATAGAACTACTTATTCCGGTTTTATCAGATCTTGGCCAAAGGCACCGCATGTATGGAGCTAAGCCGGAACACTTTAAGGTAGGGCGACTGGGATCTGTTGTGTGGTAAATGTCCGGATGGCAACCGGGCCAGGTGTCACCGGACCCCCAGCTGGCACGGGCCAGCTTACAACGTGCCAGTAGGTAGTAATGGCCAGAACCCAGGGCGAATAACTATCATCATCTTGAAACCTTCAGAGACAGCCCCAGGGGAAAAAGGACACTCTCCCACCCTCGTCGAGGAAGAAACCAATCGTCTTTGGGGAACACTCCTTCAGAGGTTTTACAGTTTGAGAGTGCTATTTTAAGGGCATCTGATGTGCCTATTCTAATCATTTGGGCTAGGGTAAATTTGTATTTCTGTCGGGAAAATTTGACATTTTCAGAGAGAAAATTGGACCTTGTAAAGGGTCCTGGAAATACCTGGCACCAGCACTGTATTAAACTCGTATGATTTTTCAAAACGCCACTTTTCAAGCTTGCATTGCAATATTTCAACTTGGATTTTTTATCTTATGGTTGCAAATCTAAATGCACGATTGAGTGACGGTTGGCACTGAACATTAGAAATAACAGAAATAGGCATAGTCCGATAATTAAAAGGTAAATATATTAATAAATTATTAAAACAACCGTGATACTAAATTTCTTTTAATTATTTATTATGTTGTTTTACTATTGGTCTATTGGTAGATGTGCTTGGGGAATTCAACATCATCGTCGATTGGACATCTAATTATTGCCTTTAACGTATTAACAAATCAATCAATCACTCAATCAATCAATCAACCAATCAAAAATTAATCAATCAAAAGTTTCCTCTTCCATCTCTATAATTATAATTATGTTTATAATTATATTTATAATTATAATTATATTTATTATAATTATATTTCTAAAATTAAGTCAATTAATTTTAGCCTTAAACCTTTTTTTTGCGAACACATTTTTCTGTCTATTAAACAAAAAATCACATGTGTTACGGTACGTTCTTTTTAATTCCTCTCACAGGCTGTCCACGAGGCATTAATATACTCGTATCAGAAAGGACTAGATCAACGGGTATGGACAGCTGATGTTAGAGATGCCTGGGACCGCATCATCCAAACGGTAGGAGCAGCGATGTCAGCCGAACTAACCGATTAATTCCCAAAGATATAAGTTACGATTGGGGCTATCACCGACGCATAAAAACCACAAAATCACGAAAACGTCAGTTTATTTATCTTGGGAGCAATTGTTGATGGTCGAGGTGTGATTCTCATAGCGTTTGGGAAACACTATTTACGTCAGCCTGTCCTCACCTAATGCCTTTTGTTGACTGAAAAGTCGTCCATGAAAACACGAATCGTGGGGAATTGCCTCCTGAGGCCACCAAAAACTAAATACAAGACGATTTTCGCTTATTTGCTCCGTACTTTTTACAGCACCGTCCAAATTCAACTATAGCATTGCCTTTCGCTGCGAATAAATTTTCCCCCACTATACGAGGGCGTATCAAATATATGAAGGAGTGAATGTCACAAGTTCGAATTCCACCTGTACTTTTTTTTTTACTTAAGGAACTTTTCATCGATTGTAAAGTAATTTTATTATGATATACATATATAAATTATATGTATATAGAAATCATATATTCATTTCCTCATAAAGGTAGCCTATTTTATTCAAAATAATTGCATTTGCACTAAAAACCGAATTGTTCCAATTTTACAGAAAAAATGGACATCAAAAGCATGAGAATATAATTTATATGTATACATTTGTTTTCAGAATAACGTATTGTCCATATTTTATAGGTCTGTACGCCTACCTCAAGATTAGATGTATATTTAAGCATTCTATTTCATATATTTATATACTTTCAAAACCTTAAAAAAAAAGATGGTTTGAATTTAAAAAAAAAAATATTTATACAATTCTCTATTTTATTGAAGCTCACTGTATTTTGATGGGTGCCTACTGTAGTTATAGATGTTATTTGTGGAATGTAATCCGTTAATATTTGTTGAAATATGCGATATATCATGGTGACACCTCATAACAATTATATCTAATGTTGAAACGGAATGTAAACAGTCATGGTCGCCTGTGGTCGTAACAAGAACCCAACGAGTGTTCTAAATAAACGATATCCATGTGACGATAATTAAAATACTGTAAATTTTCTTGACCACTTTTATGAATACTGAATACCACTGTGTTTGTCGCCCTCAGTAGGCAGTGAGTTAATAAACTTGCATATACATCAGTATACTTGCTAGCTCTTCATCAAGGGCGTAATTATATTAAAATTAATTCGTTATAAAATTCCGTGAAATTATATGATAATTAATTCGCTATCGAATTCAGTGAATTATACCTATGATAAATCATAATCGACTTACGATATTTTGTGTAAATAAAACTCATGATTAGTTCACTGTGAAAATATCGTGTTAGCCTATGTGTTGTACGACCGTCGTAAACACGACCGAATCTTTTTTTTTATTCATCTTCAAAAAACATGACATAAAGATTTCAAAGCAAAAAAAAATACATTACAATATTAAAAACTGTTCAATAACTTTAAATAAAGGCAGAAAAAATAAATAAATAAATACATGACATAGAAAAAGTCATTCCTTAAAATTGAAAAAAAAAGAAAAAAGAAAAACACTTTCCAAATTTAACAAGTGAATTTTCACTAAATAAAATAAAGGCAGAAAATAAACTTTATAAAACATTTTCTGCATTGTTCTTGCAAAGAGTACACTGAGATGAAATATATGCAAAAAACCACTGACAAAATTAACAGGAGAAGAAGTATGGTTTCCCTTTTAAGTCAAAAATAAGTTCGGAAATAGGTTTCAATGAAAGCTTTTAACTAACAATACAAGGTTTTTTTGGGGGTTTTGGGGGGTTTTTTTTTTCAGCAGCCATGTAGGTTTGAAACCATTTTACAAGCAAGTCTGAAAGCACGTAGGGACAGGAAAAACCCTTTATCATGTAACTTATTTTTGTTTGGTATTTTGGTAGCAATATGACTTTTTAAACAGATTTCCAAATTTACCAGAAAAAATTAGCAAACAAGCCAATGGACACAGAAAAAAACCCTCTTTAAGTATTTTTTTTGCATATCATAAGCCAGAAATATTATATCATATGGTTTATACATTCCCATCTCTTCTTAAAAGTTGATAATTTTTGTTTCCTTTTGTAAATAAGATTTTCTACTTTGTGGAAATATCTAATTTTATTAATAAGTTCACCTCTAGCAGGTTTAATCTCCTTTATTTTACAAGTAAAAATATAGAACTTAATATTGAGTAGTATAAGGTTAAATAACATCTTATTCGTTGCACATTTGAAACCAAATAACATGGACCATTCATCTAGGTCAATATTGAGCAATGTTTTTACATATAACCAAATATCTCTAATATAACCTACATTCCCATAAGAGATGCAAAGTATTTTCTGTATTGCTTTCACAAAAAGTGCACAATGGTGAAATATCTTCAAACTTTGAAACCATTTCATTTGTTCCCAAAATTCTATGAATACTTTTATATTGGAAATATTGCAAATAAATAAGCTCCTTGTGAGCGTTAGGCGACGCCGTCTGCTAATTGTCGTTGCGTTCTCCGTCGGCTGACGATCGTCGGGGCGCAATGAGTGCCCGGCTTTTAATCGAGCCTAACACCACACCAACCAGAAAAGGGCCAACATAAGCGCCTGCTGTGTCGGAAACACTACGCACATGTCTCACAAAAACGCACGTGTTTACGCTACGTTCACGCTGTAGCAATGGTAGCAACAAATATCCCAGGGGCAGGGCTTAGTGGAAAGGTCAACTGAGATACTACTTACTACGCTTATACATCTTCCTGGTACTGTATACCTCCATGATATCATCAACGCACTTATAATCTCATAAATCAATGAACTAAACGGTTTTAAAGGTTGATGACTTAACGCTGCTAAACTTCCATTAATATTATAGGTCACATATACAAGGTATGTCATCATACGGAGACTTGAGCGCGGAGCCGCATGCGTAAAATATGTTCACTATTACATACCAATCATGTGCGTAAATGGTATTCAATCAAGAAGGGCGGTCCTCATGATATTTACAGTACGTTCTAAACAGCATAAAAGAATTAAAGTCGGATTAGCTATAACGTAACCTCGAATAGCTATTATATTACAAAAGGTTAACTTTCAACATGAGTGTTTCATTTATGACTGTCATAAAATATCTATGAAAGGTGTTTAAGTAGCAGACCTAATAAGTAACAGACAATATCGGACTCTGACAAGTCTATGAGGCCCACGCACGAACTATTGAAAGGATAGAAATCGTTGCATCGGGGTTCCATTCGACTGGCGTAAAAACTTTTTTTTAATGATTTTAGAAAAGTGTATCGAATATAGTGTCGATTATAATTACTGACGCCGATCAAACTCATTTTTATCGAAGTTTAACGAATTCTTGATGGTGCAATACTAAAATTCGTGACAGAAAGAAAGAAAAAAAAAAGATAATTAGTTTTCGCCCCAGTGTGAATGTGAATTGGCAATATTAATAGTTTAGTGGGAATATCTTTCAAGTCAAGAGATAGTTGAATAAAAGCTATACAAGCATAATATACGGTGGATCTATGTATTTTGCTGTATAAATGGCGCCGTAATATCGAATAGGTAGGGCACTTCAAAATAAAAGATAGTGAGGGATAGGCCTACAAACTGGCTGGCACATCTTTTCCCCTGTCGTTTATTGCTACAGAGAGGCATACCGTTATTTTTTTTTTTGCACCCCACTGCCTGGCGAAAAACATTTTTGTAGAGTATTTCACCAAATTAGTCAAGAATTTGACTATTCTGTAAGTTTTTCTTATATAATACCAATTTGACTAATATCATTTCTAGTTTCCTATTGTCAGTTTTGTATGCTCAGATTACTCGCTTATAGTTTTTTTGTGTAAAGTTAGTTCCAATCCAGCGAATGTATTCACTCACTGATTTATACTGAAAGCCAATCGACTTGGTCGGAATTATGTAGGCTAAACATCCCGTATAGCCATCTAGTCAGTTACCGCCAGCAGACCTCCCCTGACGTGCACGGCTTTAAAACGCATTTGACTTATCTCGTTTAATATTCCATTGAAAGACGTACACCCCCAGCTAGACCGTTGAAAATGACGTTACCGACCCCGGCGCAGAAGAATCTCGTACAACAGTCTTGGAAAAGCCTTGTCGACAGAAATGCCTTGGACAGTACAGGCGTAAACATGTTCACAAGGTCAGTTAATACCTATTTATCACTGACACAACTTTGATTGGCAGATTCCGCGTGCATCTGTAATAATACACTCTAAATGAGTTCCGATTAGGGTTATCCGGAGATCAAATGGATTAAAATAAAAATACTATAGATAATACACTATTGCATTACTGTATTTATAGGCCTAAGATCTGGATACCTCAGAAAACAAGAGTAGGCCTAGGTTACATAATAGGAGATTTACAAGAGCACGCAGTTTAAAGTGGCATTTTAGGTTTTGGAGTAGTATGGGTCTATGCTGTGCACCTTCGCTATTCTTTTTATATTTAAAAAAAAAAAAAAAAAGATGAAAGGTTTTAGTGCTTAGCCCATCGCCCGCTCCCTTTCTTGTGTCACGGTTATACAAATTTAAAAATACAGTAATTTGAACTACATAGACATCTAATTAAGTACCTTCGTCTTTCTCATAGTTGATCGCTGAAATAGTCTGTGTATCATAACACACCGAAACCAACGGACGTTCTTCACGCCTTCTTTCCAACCAGGGTTTTTCACTGCCCTCGCAAATGCTGGGGACCAGGGGTAATAGCAATTTGCTTCCTTTTAATTTCCACTGGGGTCCCATCTCCATAGCCCTTAAACAATGGGTTATTATTTTGCTGTTCTCGTAAAAATGTTTCTGCTCCGCATGAGGTAGGTCGTGCTATACTACGCCTGTGTTAGGGGAATTACAAAATTGCTAATATTAACCTTTCAGAACTACAGAATCATTTTTTTGTGAAGCATCGACCGCTTTAATTCAGTGGCGTAACAGTTATGAGCTCTCACTCAGCAAAAGCCTGGGGCCCCGACCTTAACATGTAAAAAAAAAAATCATAATACGTCCGTATTGGGGCTCTGTACTCGCCTCTGATATAAAGCCATCGGTTGCTACCTACACAGGTGAAGTAATATTAAACGACATATTATCGAAAATCGTTTAATTTAGTTTTCCTAAACATCAAAACATTATGTCGATGCCTTCAGGCATTAGAACGTCACGGGGCCCTCGCTATTCCATGGCCCCAACCATGGATTCCTACCTGTGTCCATAATTGCTTGTTTTCGCTCTGGAGGTAAACCTATTATAAAATATTACACCACTCAAATTAGCTTTCTGCATCAAAATATGATATTAGCCGACTCAGTTGGCATCATCTGGTATACATCTGGTATACACTTAAATTCATCAATACACTTTATTTTATTTTCTCCTTCGCCTAGATGCTTCGGCAAAATCGTTTTGCTAAATAAGATAACAATTTTTCTATTTTCTATAACTATCTCTATTTAAAACTAAGATATCTCTATTTTGCGATTAAATGACAATTCGGCTCAATATAAGTCCAAGTGTGAATGGAATCCAAACCTACGTTTGATATAATCTGAGTATGATACGATTGTCCCCCAATTGGACTATAAAACCAGGAGTATAACAAAAGAGGGCAGAAAAAACGTAGAATCATGATAATGTCCATCACATTTTTATAGTAGCAAAAAGAAAAAAAAAAAACAATAATAGGCCAAGGTGTACAAAGGGAGTCAGCGTACCATGGCTTAGTTTATGAATAGGATAAATTTTTAAGCTATCTACAAGGATTTTATTATTTAACCCCTCTGTTATTGTTATTCTAATGAGTTTAACCTCAGCTTAAGGAACGGTTATTTTGCAGAAACACGAATTGAAATAGATTGTAACAGATTTAACATTCTCTACGTGTCAACAAAATCTAGGCCTACACATAAATAAATAAACAAATAATAAATAAATAAATATTCCATTAATCAATAGTAAGAAACCACCAGCAATATATAAAATAGACCGATACTAAACATTATTTATTTATGCCTACTTCCTTTTGATTCACTTTGTATTCAGGGTCGTACCATGCTGACAAACTCATATGACGGTTAAGTAACTTGAGATCGATTACCCCGATTAAATGTTGCATTTATTTGAATTGAAAATTACTTAGCTGTCTATTTATAGAATCGGCACCATGAGGCTGACGAAATTCCAAATAGCTTCTTATAGCAACTTAGTCTTCAGGCATTAATAGGCCTACATACATATGGGGAATTGGAGATCCGATTTTAGTTGAAACTCCTTGATTTAGGTTCAACATCTATTTGAGCCCAAAGAATTATGTTGCTAAAACCAACTTGATTAAACTATTTTCATTTCATGAAATCAACAGGTAGGATTACTTTATATGTTAAGTAAAAGCTCAATCGAAAGTACACTCAATCGCCTTTTCATACGTGTCATGGTGAAAGCCCTACATTGCCAATCACAATAAATTTACTTTAAAAGTGCAGTATAAAACATGGAATTACAATATTTGTAACTGCTTAGCGTTGGGTGCCTTTCTAGCAACGGGACCGTCATTTATCAAGGTGCTGGGGGGGGGGGGGTTGGGTAAGAAGCTCCGTAAGCTACTCTCCCGGCTCATCACTCAGCACTTACGGAACTCTACACACAACCTATCGGTACGTCATTGCTTCAAGGGCAAAATAAATGATATTATATAATGGACCTTTCCGCTAAGGCCCTGCCTCGAGGATTGTGGCATAGGTCCCACAAAAAAGACATCGTAAACGCCGGGCGTAAACGTACGTAAACACACGTGCGTTTGTGAAACACATGTGTTGGTTGGCAAGCGCGTAATCTTTAACGATGTTCTGATTGGTCAGTTAAGTTTGATTGACACCCCGGAAAGGTCCCTACGGATAATAATCAAGCCCGTATTCTGGGGGGCTCGAAAGAACCCCCTCCCCTCTTTTCCTGAAATTCCCTTTTAAATTACTATTAAAAAGTATAGCATTAGCATTGAAGTTGTTGAAATTAACTCCAAATATTTGAAATTTGGCATTGCTATTTCCGGAAATCTTAAGTGTTATTATTTTTAGATAAATCCTACCCATGGTAGGGCTGAGGTGGGTAAGGACTCAAAGTGCCCTTTTGTCAAAAATCAGAATCCCACCCACCTTTCGAAAATCCTGCCTTAACTTCTCTTCACGGTTTCTGTGTGTTTGAATGATCATAGACTGATAAAGATAATTCAATCTTTTATGAATTTCATCGTTCAAGTCGAGAGTTCAGAAGAGAAATCGAAAAAAAAGGCATCTGGGACAGTTCGGCGGTGGATCCAGAAATATTCCGACAGGGGGTTCCGAACCAAGTGGCCGACCAGAGGCTCGGTCAGGGTCTAGAATAAAATCCCTGATAGGGTTCATGGGGAGAGTTTTTATGGTCCAAAACTGTCTTAACCACAATATTAGGGATTGGCAATCAAAATAACGTTATTTGGATAGACAAATTAATGTTTTTGGTCCAACGATCTCGCCGTGGCATAGAGCGAAGGGGGTACATACCTGTCCGAGGGGGTTGATGGAGAAGGAATTTCCCCCTGATTCCTTACTGGCGCCACCACTGAGACAGTTGTTATTGGAAAAGGGAAAGTTTTACTGTACGTTGATTTAATAGATCGTTCAACATCTACAGGCCTCTTTCCTCTTTGTTAATATTTCTCCCCAGTTTATGAATTTAACCTTGACTTAACACAAATACCAACTGTTAATACGAGAAAATATCCAGTTTGAATATTTTGTATGTTTTAAGGGGGTTAATACGAGAAAAATAATCCCTTTTAAATAGTTTAAATGTTTTTCACGTTGTAAGAGGGGTTTTGAGAGTCACATTTATTACTATAATTCAGCTACCGGGTGTGTTTCTGCTAAAAAACATTAATGATTAAACAGAAAAACCTTTTCCACTCTATATTCTGACAGGAATTTTTTTTACTGTTCGTATTGTAAATTTAAGTTAGACACGCAATCAGAAGTACTTTGGTATGGTCGGATAAATTACTGGAATGAAAACAAGAAATGAATTATGAACGAGTTAACTTTATGAATGAGTAGTATCATTGTGACCACTGCTTGGGATTTATTCTAAGGTCTTGGGATTTTTAATGACACCTTAGGATCTTGTGAATTTTTGTTAATTTTTAATTAAATTTTGAGATTTTTTGAATGATATGGAATTTTTAGTTTTTCCCATCAAGAAGTGAAGAAATAGGCTGCTAATGGCCTTATAACACCATAGTTGAAAGTTGCGTATGCGCAAGGGCTGTTTAGTTGTTCAAAATAACAGACCCATTGGATTAGTACAGTAGTTTTTTTCATTCTGATAATTGTTTTAGGCCATTTTCATCATAAATTTCCAAATATTTTTAGACAAATAAACATCAACAAATTGGTTTATTTGTCTAAAAATATTTGAAATTTACCAGTACAAATGCAGATGAAACTATTCGATAATTTTCAATCGCCCAGTCATTTTATGTATATGATTGTAATTCACATAAGACATTGCCACCACCCTCCTCCCCCACCCAACTTCAGAAAATTTTACACAGTTGAATCAAAACGAACGAATTATTGGTCGAAAATCCAGACAATGTTTCGTTATACAGTGCAGATTAGTCAGTATAATAAAATTATTTGAAAAGGCTTTAAAATTGGAATTTTAAATGAAGTTGTATGTATATATACTAATATTTTGCGGATCTTGGGATTTTTAAAGCAATCTTGGGAATTTTTAGACTCAATCTTGGGAATTTGTATTTTTCTCAGTGGTCACACTGAGTGGTATATTGCCGAATGCAGAGTCGACGTTAGGTTGCTCCCCAAACTTCCTCTGAGTCCACACAACTTAAAAATTACGCTTCAAAGGACTTGATACTTCTCTTGCTTCAGATTATTCACCCAACACCCTGAACTGTTGAGTATATTCCCATTCGGAGACCTTGGTCTGGAAATACATGAGCTCAAAGAACATCCCAAGTTTGCGTACCATGCAGGTCGTGTGATGAAGACAGTAGGCACCGCTGTAAACGGTTTGGATAATGTTGAAGCGTTGATCCCGAAACTTGAAAGTCTCGGAAAAAGACACAAGAAGTATAAAGCGAAACCAGAATATTTCCAGGTATCACTTAGATAATGAATCAATTCAAAAAATTATGTTTCATAGTAGCACTGTCTAGATCCAATGTCATAATGGCATAACCAGTGATATTCACCCACATATGGTTGAAACATCCAATTTGAGAGTGGAAGGAGGACGGAGAAGCCGCGTAGAGCCTTGATCAGGGTCTGGGAGTGCTCTGATAGTAAAGAAAAAATTGTGACGTTACGTCACTAGTCACAAGACAATGCGACATTATGGATATTATTATTCATGGAAAAATAGTGCATCATTATTTTAGGCCTAATGCATTTTATTATACCATATTCTTTATTTTTGTAATTTGCAATCCCTTCACAAACACGCACAAGGTGCTCAGCACCGATTCTCATTGAGAGGCTTACGGAGTGAAGTAGTTCTGCATCTACAGCCTCGGGGGGGGGGGGGGGGGGTTAGGCACTTACCTATAGTCTCACATGTAAGTAGAGAGTAAATCGGTGTCTACTGTCAAGCAGTATAGACACACGCTCCCGCTGGGATGGGAGTCTATCTTTATTATTTGTATTAAAACTATCGTTAGTATTTACTGTCAACATAGCCTACTGGACTTATTTAAACATGAACATTATTTTAATATATTCATTTAATTCATTTAATAATTTTAATAGTGTAGTGTTAATATTTACGTTCTTTTCTGTATGTTCACAGGCTGTTGGTGATGCTCTGATATTTGCCCTCTCCGAGGCTACGGGCGATGCTTTTGATGAGGAACACAAACTTGCGTGGGGTGTAGTCTTCGCTGTTGTTTCAAGCACGATGAAAACGGGGTTGCTGTCATAATATTGTATCCATTTGTTACAAAAAAAACATTTAGTTTATAAATCAATATATCAATTATTTACTTTTTTATATTTATATTCGAATATAATTTAGAGCGAGAAAATATTTTGGCGCAAATCAATGAATTGAGGATTTCACAACATTGCAATTTTTATTACACTTTTATAACTCGGATAAAATGCGATTAGTTTACAAGAATTAATAAACTTCAATACAATGCAATATTCTGCTTATTTTGGATATAATAATTTGCATTATATTTCATAATCTAGATGAATTGGATTAGTTTAAAGTTAAATTAAACATTGAATCAACAACACAATCCAATATATAAGTTGCTTTCAAAGAAAAAATTGAACAACAAATATTAAATTTAATTCCCTCAAAATTAAAATTATTATTGAAATACACACTATCGTGTTGGGATTCAATATTTCGACCTTAATTACGTCATCATCAGTCTTAATTACCGTATGTCTTAATTGTGGTGACGGAAAAACGTTTTGTAAAGGTAGAAATCTGTAAATATCTCGCATTTTTTTAACAAAACCTTGGCAGGTCTGGCGTTTTAATATCATACACTAGTGGAAATTATTAAACAAAGGTTAGAAATGCATGAAAATATTTCATGAGGACCTATACAGTGATGACATCACGATGGGCGTCACAAATATCTATTTACGTAACATGCATGGTACTTGATGGTATAGGAGCTCATATATATATGTATGATCCCATATTAGAACTTAGTGACAATGACACTTGTTAAACTTTCTTAACTCTTTTACTATTAATCTGTTATAAAACTTTATTATTCACGGAAGTACATGTACAGAACTATATATTTTATAATAAATATAGTTATTTAAATATGAATTTTGTTTATTAAAACAATTGTTTAAACATGCACATTGCATTAGATTTCAATATTTACTAGTTTCTTTATTGATACTGATAAATACTGATAGCGAAGTTGGAGAAGTGCGATGGAAAATGCAATGGCAATTGCTATCAAGTGAGCTAAGCAAAACTCAAATGATAGTGTATATGTAGGCATATATAATATGTACTTTATAATTACAGTATATATTGCATATATTATATAAACCTCCTCACATGTCCTTGGCTAACAGCAGACATCAGCTCAGGGTTGATAAACACATTTTGATAATAGAAAAGATTTCACACGTATTGAAAACTTAGCACAGATGTTGGCTTAATACAGTGTTTTACCACTGGTTTGACATGTGTCTTTGTGGGCTCTATTGAGCATGAAATTCATATTTTTGAATAAAACTTTTCACAATTCAATATATGTTCTTAAATATGAACATAAAAAATGTAAACATACATAAATAATTTAATTAAAACATCAGACAAGGTCACTCAGAAAGCGACTAAATCACTGTTGTGCATATACAATTAATAACATACAAATTTATATATCTTAAGATTAAGAAAAAAAATCCATGCACATGATAAAGTACAATAGTCAATCAAAGGTCTGTTTAAACGATTTAATGTGTGTGAAAAATACGTAATTTATCCCATGTATTGTGCATGATCAGTGGCATATGGAGGGGGGGGGGAGCACTCCCCTCCAAAAAATACTCACCCCTCCCCCCCATTAAAAATGTAAAAAGCAAAATAATCATGGTAAAGTAAGTTAAAAATCCCATTATTTTGCGAATTAGCACCCCCCCCACCTAATCATCAAGCAGAAATGGTGGAATTGTTTATTGAACTGCAGCATTAGATCCCATCACCTTATTAAAAGTCCTTTATACTTTAAAGTACACATTTTTCGTTTTTTTTTCCTTTCAAATGTTTAACAAACCTTAGGTGCTTAAACAACAACAGAAAAACAGTCTTCAATCTACTTTAGATGAACAATAAACACACCAATATTAATTATAAACATTTTCCAACAAGATGAGATGTTAAAATTAAAATGAACACTACAGTACTGCCACTACTTAATAAAATAATTACTTACTAAACAAATATTAACTAAATACATAAATAATACAACTATATGAAGCATACAATTAAAATAAGTACTACTGTTACTATTACGTATCTTAATAAATACATATTAAACCAATATTAAATTAATAATAATAATAATAATAATAATTTTGGCTTATATAGCGCATTATGCTAAAGCCTCAATGCGCTTAACAGTAAAAATAAAATTCGGGAAAAAAAAAAATTAAGAAAAATACAAGTACATAAAGTATATAATGGACCAACATATTATAAAATATATATAAAAAAAAATATTTAATAATTATAATACATAACATAGATTATATACTGTAATAATAAATAAATTACCATAGATTAGAAAGTGCATTAACCAAAAAGGAGGTGGAACAGTTGCAAAGGTGGTAAAAATTATCACGACAAACACAAAATAGTTTTCAAGGCATGACATTTTTGAATAGCTGATCTAAATTTTAATTCAATGATGGTGAACAATATCAACGGCTACAGTTTAAATATCTCATTTGAACTCAATATACTGCTCATTCTTTTCTTACATTTTTTTGACTTTTTGTATTAGTGAACAATAATGATTGCCCCTGGAAATTGAGTTATATTTCCCATGAATCTAGCCACTTTAGATGACTGAAGGTGCTATTTTCTTTACTGGCATACAACCCATTCATTCCATAGGACAAAGGACTAAACAGGTAAAAACTGTGAATAGAAAAAAAAAAGAAGCGAATTAGTGTATTACAACAGTGAATAATGTAGAATGTAATCATTATGGTTAACACCAACTGTTACAGTAGAACCACTCAATTGGGACACCCCTATTTAGACACATTCCTATCAAAGGGACAATTTTCAGAAATACGAAAGAAAAAAACAAATCGGTAAGACCTCCTGGAAAATAACCCATCTAATGCAAATTCCCGATATTTGTATGTTTTACAAGTTCTGTCTCCTGAGAGTCAGTGCCAATCGGTATCACCATGCAAAGAAATATAATTAAGTGTTAAAGATCATTTAAACAGATCTCCCAGATGTGGATTCTATAACTCGTGACCCTTGGTACAGGTTATTAATATTTAATATTATTATTTCTTTCGCATCAAACACCAGAAGACCTTGTCAATTACTGTACCGAACTATTCAATAATTGTACAAGTATTATATTTTAATGCAGAAGCTACATAATGGTTATGTAAGCTATATCATTCATTTAATAAATCAATCAATAATTTATCTTCATAATTTTCAATCACTCCATCAAAAATTCAATTAATTTCAACACTTACCAATCAATCAATCAATCAGTCACCAAGTAATCAATCAATTTATCATCAATTCCATCAATCAATCATTAAATCATTCTGTTACTCAGTCAAACAATCCATCATTATTTCATTTATTCCATCAATCAATCAATCTATCATCCATTCAATTAATCAATTATTCATTCATCTATGCATTCATTTATTTATTCATTTATTGACTCAATTATTCAATAAATCATTCAAGTATCATTAATAAATTAATCAATTAATCAAACCTACCTGTACACTATAATGGAAAAGAGTGGACCATGCACCCATAGTCGTACATTGAAGTTAAGGTGGGTTTGTAGTTTACTCTGTACACGGCTAACTACATGATCAATCAAAATGCCTACAGAGAAAAACAGACAGAAAAAACACACAAATTGTCAATAAATAGATGTTCAATCTTGTCACTAGTTCATAGCACTTTGACTACACAGGCTACTCTATAAACTAGCGCATGGGACTTAATGAGACTGAACATGATTGGATGAGAATCTAATATTTTGTGAAGCAGGTGTCTTTCACCCAATCACACACAAGCTGAGTTGGAAGATGGCCATTTAACACTGAATGGAAAAGAGTGGAATGTTCCTAAGTGTTCTGGGCTCAACTTAGCCCCTGTGGATGAAACATTCTAACTTGTAGGCCTACATCAGTATCACTTAATCATCATTTGTATTGTATAGCAAGTCTAGCACAAGTCTAATGCATAAAAATGATTTTTCAGGATTCTTTTACAGTAAGAGATGGCGTTTCCTCTAATGTTACCATCATTTGATTTGGCGAGTCGAGTGGCTGAGCGATAAGGCAGGGGCGCCGCTAGCTACAGCCTTAACAATGGTGCTGCCAGCCACTCCTCACCCATGGTTTGGTTGGTAGAACCAAGTCTTCTCGGATAAAGACTTAAAATGGAGGTCCAGTGCTCTCTAAAGAGCCCATTGCATCTTTTGGAAGAGTAAGGGGTTACCCCGATGTTATGGTTCATTTCAGCCCGTCGTTGTGTAATATGTGAACATGTAGTTACCATGAAGCGCCTCTTCACGGCTGCTAGGAAATCACGGACCACGCCCATACAAAATGATTCTGCAAGTTATGGGTTATTCTCCTACCTTTACCTTTATTTGTATGCAGCAGCATGGAAGGAATGCTTTCAGGAACATAAAGTTGTAGGGATGAGTTTGTCTGAGCATCTTGACCTCAAGAAAAAGTGCTATAAAAATGCTCATAATATTGTAAATAGGATATATCTCTAATAATCACTGCTTAATGGAAAACGGGGCTCAGTAAATAGTATCACAATTTGCACTGGGTTTATTTGAAAAACTGTATTTGTTCGATCATTCATGTCACAGTTGAAATACCTTAGTCTAGGCCTACCATACATGTTTCACCTACCTGATAGCATACTGTTAAAAAGCATAGCAGGGAAGTAATGATGAAAATAGAGGACACGTCCCATGAAGTAAAAGGGTAGGTAGTGAAGGATCCAGCCTAGGAACAGCCAGGCACAATTTATCATCACCTCACCATCTTTATCTAGGAGGCAACACTAATAATGTCATGAATTTTAATAATGATAATAAGTATTATTATTAACATTATCAGTATTACTATTTTCACCTCACTATTCTATTTAGGATGAAACAGTTAATACAATAATAATAACAACATTAATAATGTCTTGAACATTAATAATAACTATTATTATTATCATTATTATTATTATTATTATTATTATTATCATCAGTATTACTATTATCAGTATTATTTATATATGTATATCTACGTTCTTTATTTCTTAAGAAAATAAAATTTTTTTATTAATCCAATTACAGAATATTGCACTCTTTACGAGATATTCTCAAGCAGGGCCAAAAGGCACCCTCTAACATTTTTTTACCTCTCAGACTTTCGGCGGAGATATTTTGCTTTAACAAAACAAAATTTTAATAGTTTTTGCACCCTCCTAAGACTATCAAAAATAAAGTTTGTGAAACAAGGTATATAAAAAAAATGTCTTGCCCTATGTTTACTATATATAACATATTTTAAAATTACCTGTTTCTGGGACTCCGCCGTCACACCTACGCTGGTACCTTATAGCCCATAGTGTAAAGCATATAAGAAACACAGCAAGGCAACATAAGTTGCCCCACCAAAGCACAGGGTTGCCCAACAAGTAAATACGCACCTCAGTTTCATTTGCCCCAGAAAACCGTTGACCCTAGATGAGGATAGTAAAGATTATTAACTGCGCACTAGTTTTTTGAATGGGTAATTAATGACCAAAAGTGAAACAATTTCTTAAAAATTGAAAACACACATACACAAAAGCAACCAGTTAGATTCAAAGGGAACAAAGCAGATGTTTAAACAGATAATAATAAATATATTCAAATTTATAATCAATTTTATTTGTCCAATATGGAAATAGCAGTGAGTATATTTGGGGTAATTCAAATTTTATAAAAGAAAAACATTTGTTCCATATAGATAAAATATACCTTAACATGGCTAGTGAAATACGACATCAAAAACAACTCCAAACAGACAATAACAAGATACAATTAAGGCATTATCAAATACAGTATATTAAGATAGTAATTAATAAAATATTAAAATGTTGAATTAAACCCAGTGGTGTAACAAAGGGTTTATAGGCTCTGGCTTGGTCGTTTTTTTACATACTGTAAAACCTCGAAGAGAAGCCCAATGGGCTTAATCTCGAGAAGAAGCCAATATCAAAAAGAGGCCCATGGGCTTCTTATATAACATGGGCTTTTTTTTCCCAAATACGTAGTACAGAACATACACTGTACATGAATTTCAAAGAAACAAAATAAATTCAAAACACGCTTTGTTTATACAGTACTTAAGGTTATTCAATACCGGTTAATACACTTCATAATACAGACTGATTTTACAGTGGAACTAGTTATTGTATCATAGTAGTAATTCCCAAAATTTACAGCATTCAGTTTAAAAAGAATCCCCCCTCTTAACTTTGCCAAAGTAGCCTTGAAAAGAAGCCTATCTTGAGAAGAAGCTCAGCCAAAGTTGGCAAAAAAAAAGAAGTCCACGGCTTCTATTCAAGGTTTTATGGTACGCAACGAGAAAACAATATCTCAGGGGCGGATCCAGAATTTTTCAAATGGGGCAGGGGGCACAACATATTCAGAATAGATAAGTAAGAACACTAATTTCAATATATGGTTTGAAATTTTCAAATTTAGTGGCAAAACCGTGAACTCCTATTGGATCCGCCCCATGACTATAATATTTTTTCCAATAAACTTCTCCATCTGATTCTACAATAATAATGACATGAAGGAGGTCCAGTTGTACACTGGCAATGTAACTGAGTGAAGATACACAATATTAGAGAAAAATTTTACCCACTACAACAACCTTGTATATTCTACTTTTAAATACATAATAGGTATTTTCAAATTCCATTTCAGTCAGGCAGTTAGCCCCACATACATACATACACCAACTGTGCTCTTTGTGATAAAGTACAATAACTGTAAGCTTTAAACTGAAACTGAAATCAGTGAACGTATATTGACAGTAAGGTTGACATGATACATGCTAAGGAAACAATTTTTACTTGATATTTTGGGTACAGTTGATCAAATACTATTATGTTGAGCAGATTTTTTTTATATAGTCTTGAATACTGTTTAAATGTACATCATAAATATATTTTGGATCTGTTTCACTGCAAGCAGGATGGTTTTAACGCTCAATTATTGTCAACCTACTTTAACAAACAAACTCCTATCCTTTGAATAATTTTCAATAGTTTCTTCAGGCAATACAATGTACAGTAGGCTTACAATGTACAATGTACAATGCCAGAGTAAATGCACTTCAAATTACAAGCATCAGTGACCATTATTACTCTCGCCTCCAAAGGAGGAAGCGTGGGTATTACAATAGCGAGCGTCTCTGTGTGCGTGTCTGTCTGTAGTGTTTGTCTTTCCGAGCGCAACTCAAAAACTATTGAACTGATTGACTTAAGTGATCACATTACATGTATCTCGGTCATCCTTGAATTTGGTTCTGGTCAGAAGTAAAATGTAGATTTTAGAACATTATTTATATATTTTTCGGTAGCATCTGACAGAGCCAACTAAAGCGGATTGTTCGACCGAGGCGTTTGGCCAGGCCAGGCTGACTCGAGACCATGTGTCAAATTCATAGAGGCGGACGGAAAGCAGTCTGGACGACGTGCAAGCCCGATTGATTGGCTTGCCACCTGAGGTCTGTGATGCTAGGTCTTGTTTGGGGGATGGACTGGAGAAGTAAGATGCAAATTTTAGAATTTTCTGGCCGCATATATCTCACAATACATAATCTCACAATACATAATAATTGAAAAAAAAAAACCAAAAACAAAAATAAGAGCGAGATTCGAACCTCATACAGTTGATCAACATTACACATATGCATCTTTACCATTCGGCTACATTTCCTCTGATGCGTATGTAAAGTTAGTAATATTACACCAAATATAAAACAACAACAACCAGATCGACTATAATACATAGATATGGCACAACAGGGTGAGGGTTTGTAATCTCAGATTATCTTGTTAGTTTTAAAATGGTGAGTAATTTACTGGAATAAACTTATTATTGCTTAAGTTATGAGTAAAGTATTACAGGTTCTCTGTTTACAATACTACCACATTCATATGCTAATTACTCAGTTTAACATTAGTCACAGTACACTGGTTTTGTGTAGGCAAGCCTCATTCATATTTTTAAAGGAAAAATCTGCAATATCTTCATGCATGTTTATTGGGGTTTTAAAATATTTTACACTTTATTAACTGCCTTATATATTTGAATAAACACCCAGCTTTGAATAAATGCCTTCCCTAGAGCCTCATTTGGACTAAATGCCTCCCTTGATTAACTGCCCTGAGGCATTTATTTTTTCCTCGAATACACATTCTCCCCCCCCCCCCCAAATGACTGTAAACAGTAGAATTACATTTCTTTTAACCTGGTTGGGATCAATACTGCAAGTCTTTATGATCATGCAATAACAAATTTTGATGGTATTTATGTGTTGTAGTTTTATATTTACAATGAGGTTAAAATAAACACCCCTGGGGCATTCCTTGAATAAATATGGTACAGTATATTGTTTAGGTATAGGTAGAGAATATGCTGTGACTTAGAGCTTTATTGGGCTGATAGCTCGCAGACGTGGATGAACTTATTCAACAACTTTCTTCTCCTCAAATGGTACAACCAGTAATGTGTGATTAAGATTGAGCACTTTGAAGATTGCACAACACATTGTCATGAAATACAGCATATTGTCATATATACACTGAAGAAGCACTAATGTTGTCTGGTTCTAATTCTGGCTGTTGACTTATGTTGCATTATAGCTTTTGCTTCTCAATTTTGTATCTGGATCAGTCAAGATATAAAAATTCAAACATTTCTTGGCTGTTAACTTTCCATTTTCGCTTTGCTGATTTATCGATTTGGTATCTACTGAAATTCCAACATTGTTTCCCAAAGCATTGTTGATTTTTTTGTATTTTGTCATTTATATATATATATATATATATATATATATATAAGATGTGTATAAGAGACAGATGCTACTTTTAAATACATAATAGGTATTTTCAAATTCCATTTCAGTCAGGCAGTTAGCCCCACATACATACATACACCAACTGTGCTCTTTGTGATAAAGCTGTCTCTTATACACATCTAGATGTGTATAAGAGACAGATTTTAACCTCACTATTCTATTTAGGA